CAAAGGGTCTCCAGTTCTATTCCCAATCAGGGCACATGCCTAGGTTGCTGACCAGGTCCCCAGTGGCTGCCGGGGGTGGGGGAAGACATGACAGAGGCAACCACATATTGATGTTTCTCTTCCTTTCTCTCTCCCTTCCCCTCTGTCTAAAAAATAAATAAATAAAATATATATTTTAAAAGATGTCCCGCCCACCCAGCAAAGGACCTGTGTCTTCGTCTCACCACTTTGCTCGGCCCACACACGTCCATTCAGATAAATAACAGCACAAAAGAAAGTACACAGCACATTCCTGCATTCACGGGGTTGGTTATTCATGGGGAAAGGAAGAGAAGAATAAATGCCGCCAATGGGAACAGCCAGTTTTCAAAGAAATAAAGGACATTTTCACTTCCATGTGCTGAAAGCTTAAATAAGGAACAATAATAATCTAAATCAGTAGTTTTTAAACCGTGGTCGATGGAGCCCTGGAGTTTTGCAAAGGCACCCCAGGGGCAGCTGCGAGTTAGTCATTATCCCACTGGCTGAATGTTAACTTGCACAGGGGCGCGTGTGCTGCGGCTGTACGGCTTGGGGGCAACGGCTGCGGCAGAGGCACCAGGACCATCGTGCTTCCTAGAGGCATCATCACTCCTGGATACGTGTGACCTTGGTCAAGTTGATTTCCACCTCGGCTTGACTTCTTTTATGTCCGATGAGGAGAACCAGTGACGTGGCGATCACAAAAACCTCTCGGCTCTAAAACACTGAGACCACTGCATGAGTTGCGTCCATTTCAGTGTTTACTTCCAACGACAACAATATTTTAGGATTACTTTCCATACAACTTTCTTTAAAGCTGACCCGTCCTGTCTTTGACTTTCATCAATGATTACAAATCCTGGGTCTACCAGGAGGAACGTGATTTTTTTCCAGTGTCTGTCTTCTGAATCTGACTGTAGAATCCATGAAACAAGACCCGGAACTATGACGTCATACACCCCAGAGCTTGATCCAGTGCAGGGCGCCAGGAAGGGCAGTCTATCTTTGCTCGATTGATCTGAACTACAGAGCGTGCTCTCGGATATTAAACTTTTTATAGCATCATTTAATGCACGCACATTATATGTTTTACTGTGCCATCCTTTTCTCAACCACTCATAGACATCTAGATTCTGTCCAAATCTTTCCTTTTATTCCCAATATTAGGATGGAAATCCATGCCTGTTCCCCTAGTTTCTTCTTTAGATTCCCAGTTGTAGACAACTGAATGAAAAGGAAAGAAATCATTTTACTGTTTTGATGTGTACTGATAAACTGATTTCTACAAAGATTGTACCTATTTATACTTCTCCTAACAATACAAAGGAAACAAAGATAAACACAAACAGCTAAAAAAGCATAAGGAAAAGAACTTGCCACAGAGAATTCGGTGAGTATTTTACTGCCCAATGTCTCTGAAAGGAGGAGTGTAAGTCAGTGTGTCTACAGGTTTGCAGAGACCTCAGTTACCAGATCTTGGCTGAGGCATGCTGGGTACATATGGTACCCAGTATTTATTTTGACAACCTCCAGTGATGGAGATAATTTGATGCTCCCTCCAGGATTAAAGTATGCACACTGGAGGAAGTAGTTAGTTTGGGGGGAAAGTTAGATTTTGAGTCTAGCAGCTGGATTCTTCCATTTTTCAGTCTGTGGGTTCCAGCTCTCCAATATCAAGGTAAACACTAGGGTACATGCAAGCAATTTTCTACCATGATAAATTCAAATACAAGTCATGCAGCATGCAGATAGGTTGGTGGTTGAGGTCATTATCATCTGCATCCATTTTTTCAGTGCAATATGGGGTGAGGTCATCAGGTGAGTGCAGGGGACGAGTGGGCAGTGTTTGAAAAGAAAGGGGGTATGGAAGTTGTCTCAGAGCAGGAAAATAAATTAGCTAGAGAAATGTGGTTGGATTCAGGCAAGTACTGCATCTCGCTGAAGATCTGTAGTCATGACTTACAGTGAGACTGGTCAGCAATAGTGTAACAGAGTGCAGCCAAGAGGGGGGCCCCAAATAGGGATTTGGAATGGGGTCCAGAACTCAAGGAGTTCAGGAAATATTAGTATGTCTTCACCCCCTTCCCCCACAGGTGTGAGTTGGGGGAAGGGACACATGGAGCAGGGCGATTGAGAGCTGTTTTGCATAGCAACAGCTTTGCAGCTAACCTCTGGTGTGGTCATTTAACATATCTATAACCTTTAACTGGTTGCATAGATATGTTCAATAGCTGTGGCCATGCTTTGAGCCAGGGGGATGGGAGGGACTTCAACCCAGGTTGTAACCGGGGGCAGGTCACCCGAGTTACAGCGCCTGCATTGGTGCTTGGAGATGATTGGCTCCATGACATGGGGCCACGCCTGCCCAGACTCACGATGGTAGCCCAGTAAAGCTGGAAGGATATGAGAGTGCTAGCAAGTGTAACCAATTGTGGGAGGAGTCAGAAACAAGGCTGCAGAGGATGATTGGCGTGGGGATTTAAACCCAGACACCGCAGCCATTGCGGAGAGAATCATGCGGCTTTGCCAGAGTGGGAACTCCCGCGGCCCTGGGAGGGAGAACCATGAAGTTTTGGCAGAGTGGAGACTCCCACAGCCATAGTGCAGAGAGAGGACCACTCGGCTATGGCAATAGAAAGGAGAGCCACGAGGCTTTGCCAGCGTGGGGACCCCCGCAGCTTTAGAAGGGGGAACCACCACCCGGCTTTAGCAGAGATCCCAGCGACACAGCTGATGGTGCCGGGAACCGAGGGAGGCCTACCAGCCGAGACGGATTACTGGAAAGAACTGGCGGCTGCCTGAGCCACGGACTTCTATTTCTTTTCCTGAGATACGGTACCCCAGACTGGGTAAAGGGGGGAAGGAAGGACTGCGTGTGTTTGTGGGTGTTTTAAGGGACTTTGGGATTTTGATGAAGACATTAGGTCACTACTTTAAGTTTGTACAGCATTAAATAAACATTTCCTTTCCTTTTCACAAATCTCTGGCATTGAGAGATGTCTTTCCTATAAGGCGGCGGACATAATGAACCTGGGGGATTCCTTTCGGTAATAGTATATTGCCTTCAGCCCCCTTTAACACCCTCTGTCTGTCCGATAGCAGTAGCAGTGAGGGGGTATGATTTCACCCAGCTCCAACAGATACTTAAATTTAGGTGCAGACTCAGTGAGTGGTGGCATTTAAGAAGAGTTCAAGTTTTGCCAAGTTAGCGCAACAGAGCACGAAAGGTTCATTAAAGGTGGCTGGGTGGGGAAGCGAGGCCCCCAGAAAGGGCGACGGATATGGAGAAAGTAGGATCAGTGGATTGGATGGAGGTACTGAAAATTGTGAGTGGACGAGTGGAGAGAATAGGAAGTGATGACTAGAGACTGAGACCACAGAAGTTTAGATGTTTTTTTTAAATTGATGCATGAAAACAATCGGGGCGGATGACAATTAGCATAATGCCTCGGGCAAGGCAGGGAGTGGCTGGATGAGCAGATCGCAAACCTTCTAAAGGTGGCAGTTGCCTGGGACGGACTTGAGAACTTGGTTTACTCTTCGTGAGGAAGGTGCCGACCGGAGTGGGGAACGAGGAAAGGGAGTATAAAGACTAAATGCTGGCAGTGGTCGTCAGATTGCCTCCTGGGCCTGAGGCCAAAGGCTTTCCTAAGAGGTTCGGGAAAGACAAAGGTGGGATTCCTATGAAAGACGAACCCGACGTTTCTGTGAAACTCCGGCCCGGGGTGGTAGTGATGTCGGCAGGAGGGTAACAGCCGGCTCCTTAGAATAGAGATCTTCTATCTTGGACTAATCTTTTTAGGCACTTTGGTTCTCTCCTCGGCCATGTGGGGGAGGTTTTCACTCTTTCTGATTTAAGAAATCCCATCTTATTCAGCCCAGATTATCTTTTCAGCATGGCCCGTTGGTATTTCACCAAGACGGAGCCAAGGGCAGAAATATGCTCTATAACACACCGTAGGGCTTTTGAACTTGAGCATTGCTCCTGTCCTTTGGGATGCCAAGTGCATTCTTCTAGGACTTAAAGACAGTCCCCAAGGGTCAGAGGCCTCCCTTAGGCATCACCAAAGAGAGTAGATAAAACCGATGGACTTCCAGGCCTAGAAGGCTCTGAGAAGTAAAAGCCTTACTAGCAGGCAGATGCTGACGCACCCTTCTCAATCACCCCTTCACTTCTCTTAGCAGACAGACCTGAGTTTGCTTCCCTCAGAAAAGCAGCCCACCCCACCCCCTCGTGAAGTCTTCCAGGAGGTACTATTGGATCCTAAGTCTTCCGGCAACAGTGGTGCTTTGTCCTAGAGGAACGGAGGCCGCTGCCCAGGGAACCTAAGACTGAAAGTTATCATTTCCAAATGTCAATTCCTGCTGGGAAGGTAATGGCTGGGCAAAAGAAGGTGAGTAGAATCCAAACTGAAGAAGAAGGAAGGGGTGAGGACTGACAGGAGGGGGAGAGCGGCACACTGGAAGGAGCGGGCACCCTGCTCCACTGCCCACTCGCCAGTTTGCTCTCCTTTAACGGAAACACTTATCCACGAGTGATGGCGGCCCGACTAGGTCCTTCGCCCACGCCTGAGCTCAGGGGGCCTGGGACAGCGCAGACGGAGAGCACCGCAGGCTCTGCAAGTGGCTGCAGACAGAGAATGACCCCACTGGGACTAGCAGGAGGGGTGCACGTGACTTTCAATGACAACACCGGAAGAACGACTGAGTTAATTAAATACGAGTAAACTCGGAGCTTGAACATGCCGGCAGTACTGCCACTGTGGGCCACTCACTCTACGCTGAGGGTCGCTGGCCCTTGCTGAGCTGGACAACTGTTGAGTGTAAGTTTATGTTTCTAACCCTGGAGATGCCTCCAAATTTCCTCCCTCCCCTGGAGTAAGGTGAAAATTAAAGGGAAGGTGCAGTGGGAAAGTTTTAAAAGATATCGAAGTATAAACGTGTGCAAAGGGATGCTAAAGATTCAAATTGAAACTAGACCAGAATATTTACATGTTTTATTAAATCTTTACAATCAGTAATTATAATCAAATACACAATTATATACAAGGATTATATACATTTTGCCCAGACTTTTACATCACAGTACATAGCTCCCCTTAGAAATATTGTTTACATTTATCACCAAACAATAAAACCCGACAACAGCAGTGTTACAGCACCTGTTAGTACAGACGTCTTTTTCATAAATTACATCATAAGAAAATATACGGCTGTAAATTGGGCTTTTAAAAATGTCTTTTATAAAATCTGAACATACAATGTTTCATTCACAGAATGTTTTTTCTATGTTCTGACGGAAGCCTTGCGCACAAAACGACTGGCTGGAGTATTTACTGAATCTGCCCCTGTGACACCTCGGAACTGTAAGCCCTGTCTGAGTTACTTCTGCCGAGCTCCTCTCTGGCATGGAGTTTGGTGCGAGAACAAATGCTGGTTTTACTGTAACAACCACTGTGTTCTTGCTGGAAGCCTATTGAAGTTGAAAGGAAAAAAGAAAACCTGCCCAACGAAACAGCCTACCCCACACACGCCCGGTAAACCACAATTCCTTCACGCCTAAAACTTCATGGGAAAAGTGTTGCCCGTCAGGGTCTGTCACTTCAGTGGACTTTCATAAGCAGAAAAACTACAGCTGTTCTTAGTTGGTAAACAAGTTAAGTTTAAAACGTGAAAATACCTGAATTAAATCCTTGTTCTAATATCTCACTTTTAACTTTCGGGGAAAACCGTCCCTTGATTCCGGGCTTGTAAACATTGTAGAGATGCTTCTCAGTCACACAATTTCATGGCTGTGGTGGATACTTCAGCTCTATTTCTGTGCAGTCAACACTTAACTGAGGTAGACCAGATGTTTCTAAAATCCAGGGTTTCACAGAATCCCCTGAATCTTTAGGAAGTAAGTAAAATCTCTATAGATGGTATTTAAAAAAGCAAAACATAAAAAAGCCCTAGTGCTCTGGAATTTTTTAATGAGCTCAGAAACAACTTCATGGCATTATGTCAAATAAGAAATGTAGAGTCAATCTCAATGTTGCAGTTTTGAAGCCAAACCTTATACCTTCTTTTCTTAAATGGGGGGAAAAGTCAAGTATAATTCCTTCTGGGTGCTGAGTATAATGTGTTAATTTTTTCCTTCCCTTTAAAAATAATTTTTTTTTAAAGATTTGCTTTTCTAAACAAGTGAGCAAGTCGCTTCTAGACCTCAATGGCAACAGCTCCCCCTTATGGCCAAAGAAAGGGACAGCAGCAGTAAGCTGGCTTCACCTTATATGCCACAAAACCTTTACTGGGAAAAAAAATTCCATTGTTTTGACAACTTTAGAAAAGTGAGATTTAGACAACAATGGCTCTGAGATATAAACAAACAAATCACTAAACATAAGGCTTCTCTAGTCAAAGTCTCTCAGAGGAACATTTGCTCCTTTCCTCCAAGCCCCAGTCCTATAAATCCAGGCAAGTCAAGTGATGAAGCTTCAGCTACTTTGGCAGCTTTGTAATTAAGGTGAACAAAGCACTACGTCTACCCTTTTGTGTACTCTATGTATTATAGTTCTATCTTCTTACACCAAATTTCACATGCAGTGACTAAAAATATCCATTCTGGTGTCAGGTTTAATTGAGGGCCAATGAAGTTCTTGTCTACTACTCCTTCCCCACTGCCCACCCCCCTCCCACGCCAAAGTGAATGCTCGGTGAGATTTACTACTCATTGACCCAATTAGGTTTCGCTGGAATTTCTGGAAGCAGCTATTCACCCCCTTGTAAAAGAGTATGTTTACCTGGACCTAAGACATACTGTACAGGAATATACATGAACTACAGGACAGCACTGCTGTCCCTGTAACGGCTCCACACCCACTCGCGGGCCACCTGCACCTCACAGCTGTTTTAGGAGAAAGTCACCAGGTGATGTCGTGGCAAAGAGAGATAAAGTGAAGTCTCAGACACTCCTTTAGAACTGATTCAGGTAAGTTGTTAAAAATAAATAAACGGAATAAAGCCATTATTTCAACTATAGGGCTGTTTACAGATATCAACAACAAATTAAAAATTAAATGTGGCCAGCACCAGACTGCCACCAAAAAGAAAAATTTATTAAATAATATGGCTATATGTTAGTTGCTACTGTGTAAGTTTTTTACACAGGTTACCATAGACTAATTTTCAAGTCCACATCAGAAGAAATATTTGTTTAAAAAAAAAAGCGAACTTAAAAACCATGATTCAAGAGAAAATGTGACAGATTCCTTAGGTGCAACTTTAGAAATCATAGTTTAAGATGAGAAAAAAATATGTATTACCCCAGGATTTTCAGGTGACTACCACAGCCCTACCCTAACTCGCTAAGACGGAACTGGAACAGAATGCACCCCCCGTCAGCCCCACGGGCCGTGTGGCTCCAACGGCAACCCGGCCGTGGGACGGAGTAAGGCTGCGGGCTGGAGGGGACCACCTCTCCGAGAAATGCACTGGACAGACTCATCACTTACCCTACAAGGATGTATACCATCAAGTTCCTTCGCAGAGTAGTCACAGCTTTCCCTGTGGAAGGCCCAACGGCAAGTTCATATTGCAACATTAGTTTCTCCCTTGCTCCGTTTTTCAGGAGTATTAAGTAACCAATTTCCACAATATATTATTATATGACCTTGTTACCTGGTCCCAATGATTAGTCATTATGCAGAGAACTCGCTGAGAAAGCACAATGGCTTCACCTTTGGTTTAAATGAAAAGGACATTGTTAAGAGGGAAGAAAAATCAAGTCACCTTCATCATTTGTTGTACAATGAAGCAAGTGAAAGAGATGAACAAAGGCTGTTTTCACCGTCACCTGCCTCCTAACCGCTCGGGTCACTTCGAGTGTTTCCGTGAGGGTAGCACGAGCAGAACGCCCGGGACTCGCACTCGCTTCCCCAAAGGGCCTGTGAGCCCGAGGCCGAGAGAGCGCGCTCCCTTCAATCAGAGAGCGGCACGAATCCTGTCCCCCGCGCCACCACCAACCGCATTTGCTTCTCGTCCCCCCAGAGCCTGCAGAACCCTGGTTCCCAGGCGAGTCCAGCAGTCTGCCCCCGGCCTGGGGTGCTGCCATCTGAGGGGGACTGTGAGTTTCCACTTCTCGTGGGACAGTCTGAAACAAGGTCGATGCTGACACAGCAAGCTCCAGGCTCCTATGACACCAGCTATCCCGGTCAGAACGTGGTCGCTCGTCACCGTACTCAAAGCCTCCCTCCCACTGGAGAGCCTGCTTCGTTTGAGGTGTCTGTGAACCACAGTTCCCCTACTCGTTCTAAATACCTACCGCCCCGTTCTTCAGTGAGTCATAGTTCGTCTTTCTCCATCATTTCAAATGCTTCTATATCTTCATTCCAGTCTGCTAGTATGGAGTCTATGGGCTGGTCCTTTTTACCCCAGCTAACGTTGGGGTTGGAGTCTTCCTCAGTTTCTGATTGTTCTTGAAGCTGGTTATCTAAATCTGTACATTCACCGTCAAGGCTCGGAGGTTCATGGTTTTCTAGGGGATCGGAATTCTGTTCAGAAGGAGAAACGTCTGCAGCCTCATCTGCAGCTGCTGCAGGCGAGGACTCTGGGGGCGAGTCCAGGGAGCTGTCTTCAGGAGACTCGTGATCACCCAAGTCCACCTCCTGAGAGCCCGGCGCGAGCGGCTCGGCGCTCTGATTCTGAGAGTCACTTTCAGAGAACGGCTGCTCTTCATTCTCCATGTCAGGGTCTGTATGCAAGAGAAACAAACCTCATGAAGCTTTTCCCCTTAAAAAATCTGTCACACTTTCAAAAGCATTCTGGTTCTTATAATCAAATGAAGAAATAAAAGTTAAATGCGATTATATTTTTCTGTACATTTATTTTTCAAAATGGAACATTAGAAAATAAACATTCTTCTGAACTGAATGTCTAATAAGTGATAAGACTGCCTTCAATGGATATGAGTAAATGCCAAGAAATACACTAAACAGTAATACTATTAAAATGCATATAAATTTGCATTATATGTCAAACATTTATTAAATATCTAAATTCAGGGAAGATTGCATATTAAATAGAATTTTAAATAGCACATACCATTGCTATATTTTAAGATAGTAGTCTTTTGGAAAATGAAAATTCCCACTTGGTAAGCCATAAAAATGCAGATAATACAAAATTCTGGGCAATTTAAGAGCATTAATGTGATTAAGTAAAATATTTTCATAAAGATAACAGATTATATATACAACTTCAATTTCATTATTGTTGGGTTTATGAATTATTAGCTACAATCATTTAAAATCTACTGGAAGGCTGAACAGTAAGTCAAACCCTCCCATAATGAATGTCCAGTGAACCCAGCAGGGCGTTTCACGCAGCAGCGTTCTGACAACGGCCGCGCTTCAGCAGCAGCCAAGCCCACAGGCCGCGCCACGCCCACAGGCCGCACCCCCCCCCCGCCCCCGGCCTCTGCGGTTGGGCAGCAAATAGCTCCTGAGTGTCCGCTGTGCGGCATTGCGATAGAACAAACCGAACCAGCTGCCAGACCTGCCTCTCTGGGTCTTCCAGCCCGGGGTGGCGGGGGGGAGCGGGGGAGAAGGACCCTTACACAGCATCACACAGCAGGTGAAGCACTCTGTGGCAGTGTTCTGGGGTTAGAAAAGAGTAATGAGGGGACCTGAAGGTTTCATCGGATGCTGACACTTGAACTGAGATTTGAAAGGTAAGTGGATTAGTCCGTCAAACCGGGGAGGGGAGATGGGCCTCTTCTAAACCAGAGAACGTGAAGGAAACACAGGCCTGCAGGAAGTGTAGGTGGGTGCATGCTCACACACCAACGGGTGAGGCAGGATTACTGGTCCTGGGTTGGGGGCAGGGAGAGCTGGGCCCGAGGACGTATCCTCCCCACAGCTGTGCAAGGCAAGGGCGCATGGCAATGAGACAACCAGGAAACCACGTGGGGGCCCGAGGAAGAGAAAGCAGGGAGCTGGCAGCTCCCGGCTCCCTGACGCTAGGCTCCCCGGAGTTGGAGGGAGCACAGCCACCAACAGAAACCTTCGCGTTTCTTCTCTCCAGATGGCATTCATCTAATTCAGAAGGGCAGGAAAAGGTGTGGTGCCTTCTCATCTAGCAATCAAGACTGTCCTTAGGCAAAAACAAAAACAAAACAAAACACAAAAAACCCCCACCCTGGGATAACCTATCATACAACGTTATTTTAGAAATCTAGCTAACACAATAGGATAACAAAATAGTCCATGTAAATATACAAAAAGGGAAAGAGCAAATTGTCTTTATTTTCAGGTTGTGTTGTGTATTTAAACTCGAAGTAACCCTTAATTTTTGAAAACTTAAAAAAGTATTTTATAAGGAAGGTAAAAAAAGTTAAATAGGCATAAACCAATAACCCCTTTATAGTAGCAATACTGGTTAGAAATAAAATTAAGTACCCTTTTCATAATGAAAATAAAAGCTACAAAACATAGAATTGAATTTATTATGAAAAAGACCCATATTGCTCAATACTATAAAATCTTAATGAAAATAAAAAACAAGATCTGATTAAATTTGTAAGTAAGTGTATGTTCCTAAGATGGAAAGTCTGAATATTTAACAAAATTTTCCCATTTATACATAAAGCATGAAATTAAACATTCTAAAATAAATCCCATTTCTACTTATTTCTGTTTACTTTTCGGACCAGGTAAGAGTTATTTTTAAATTCCTGTGGAAGAACACACATCAAAGGGAAGTCAAGAAGTTCTGAACAGAGTTAGTGAGAGGAGCGTTGCCTTATCAAATGTTTGAATTTATTCGGAACAGCAAAGTGTCTCATTATCGGCACAGCAATAAAGAGATCAGAGGGCAGGAGGAGCCAGCACAGCCTCCGATCGACCGAGTGCGCAGCAAGGAGCACCCCACTGACAGCAGGGAGGCAGCGCAGGGAAAGTGAAGGGAGACGAAGACCCGATGGGAGAGGGCAGGAGGGGACAGAGGCAGGTCACGCCACCACACCCCTTCCTTCCCCGGGGCCTCTCCTCCCGGGAGGGGGTTTCACGGTCCTGAGAGCTTAACGACTGCACTGTTAAATTCAGAATGGTGTATCAGAAACACCAGAAGCAAAGGAAGAATGAAGAAAATCTCAAGATGCAAGGAGGAGAGAATGAAGCTCCGATCATGCAAGGCCAAGGGAACCGTGGGCCGAGACTCAGGGGCCGCTGTTCTGTGACCACTCGCTCACCCCCACAACCGGGCTTACCGAACGCCAGGAGCCCAGAGGGGAGCAGCAGGTAAAAAAGCACCGTGTGATACGGGTGTCAAAGCGGGAACTGTATCAAACAGGCGCCCTTCAGTTTTACCGACAAGAATGAGAGAAAACGTCTTATGGAAGATGGCATTTAAACTCGGCATTCAGAATGGCTAAACGCTGTCAGAGAGAAAAAGGGACCAAGACAGCACCTCCGGAAAGAGGGAGGTGGCTTTGCCACTGCAAAAGTGCGCAAGAATACATGACGTGGTTGGATCGGGGGAAGGTGACCATCAGTTCTGCTACAGGGAAGGGTCCGGGTGCTAGTCTCCTGGCAGTGAGGCCATCTGCACACACACTGGACTTTCTCCTCAGAATCAAACCCTTTGCAACAGCAACCTGACTCCCGGAGTTCAGCTTCAGGACACAGTTACCCCGACCGGCTTCAGTGGAGGAGAGGCTTAGGAGAGGTAACACTGCCAGTTCAGGCCCGGCCCCATGCCTTCTTCCCCCACCTCCCCATCTGCCCCTGGACCAGGCAGACGCAGAGGCAGGAGCAGCCCTGCACACACCTGCCGCAGCTCTCACGGCCCCGCGGGCCCGCCCCGCAAACGGCAGGCACAGACAGGTGCTGAAATACAGACAGTCTCCCCTTGCGAAACAATACTGAGAAAGGAAACTGAATTTTAATTGTAAACCGTTTCAGCTTGGAGCTAAAAGTAAAAGCTGTCTTTTGCTCACGGGCACTGGATTAGGACTGGTATTGAGTACTATCATAAACCTCACGTTCAGGAAAGATGGGACACATGAAAGATACGGTATTAAAATTTCTGTGGAGACTTCACATTTTAGAAGTGTGGCTGGTTAGACCGGAAGAGGCAACATTTCCCCTTGACAAAGGACTAAACTCTTGCTTCTGAAAAGAAAGTGCGTCCAGTAGCCCACATTCTATGTACACAGGGCACATCGCAACCCCCCGTGGGGGCCTGAAGCCAAGGACAGCACCGAACCCTGTATGTACTTTCCTATGCACACGGACCTACAATCAAGTTCGCTTTACAAATCAGACACAGTGAGAGACTAACAACAATAACTAATAATTACACAGAACAACTGAAACACTATCCTGCAACAAAAGTTACGTGGATGTGGTCTCTCATTCTGGAACTGCCCTGGCTACTAAGGGATGAGTGGGCGGGGGAGGGGCCTGTGCAGATGACGAGCCAATGGCTCACGGTCAGAACTGCGGGTTTCTGAGATTCCCCATTCACCGTTTCCGGACCATGGCTGACCAGGGTGACTGAGGCCGCGGAGAGGGAAACTGCAGATCAGAAGGGACTGCCCCATGCGGTGTCTGCACACTCTTGCTGGGAGACCTGGCGACTGAGGATATTTCCACAGTAATGCTGGGCCTTACCATCAGAATGAGGGGTGGGAGGGGGGCTTGCTCTGGGGCTTCTCTTTCTGTATTACTGCGTGGGAAGACCTGCTCAGTCAGACCCGTGTGCCTTTAGGAGGGAAGTGCGTGTCTGAGGAGTGAGGGCGCTCTGGAGGGCGCCGGGTTGCTCGGAGTTTAGGGGAGGTGCTATCTGGTGCACTTACGATCCTCGATGGTACAGTATGTCCAGATACAAGCTGGGAGATAAAAAGGGGTGCCTTCTTAGTCTAGTTCAGTGTTTCCCAAAGTGTGCAAGTGCCTGGGACGCTTGTTTACAATGTCAGATTCTGACTCTCTGCCTTCAGAAAGTCTGACTCAAGGGTCTGCAGTCGGACTCGGGAACTGACCCTTCCAACGAGCGGCCTCTGATGCAGGGACAACACGACGCGTGCAGCCACGGCGCGGGGCACACGCTGACGGCGGCCACCGCAGACACTCGCTTCTTAGGAGACGTTCCCAACTGAATAAAGCACTCAGTTTCCTAAAACCATTATCAATGATTTTTTACATGAATAAATATTAACAATTACACTGTAACTTATTGCTGATTTAGTTAATATAGCTCTACAGTGCTTGAAATAGCTACACAAAGGGGAGTTTTTAAAGACTCGCTAAAAAGATCACTCTAATACAGAACCACAGTTCAATACATTTATAGACTAGTAAAACTTTAAAATACATACTGCAGTTTAAATAAAACCCCTTTACTGCCAGGTTCTTAAGGGAATACTGTTCAGATCATTTCTGTTGGTAATAACAGAATGCTTTTTTTTTAAAAGATTTTATTTATTTAATTTTTTAGAGAGGGAAGGGAGGGAGAAAGAGAGAGAGAGAGAGAGAGAGAGAGAGAGAGAGAAAGAAACATCAATGTGCGGTTGCTGGGGGCCGTGGCCTGCAACCCAGGAATGTGCCCTGACTGGGAATCGAACCTGCGACACTTTGGTTCACAGCCCGTGCTCAATCCACTGAGCTATGCCAGCCAGGGCAGAATTCTTATTTTTGTATCATCTATCTCTGGTATGGGAAGCACATGCTTTTACATAATCTTATAGTCCTATGTCATGCACTCTTACAGACATATGCGTTTTTAAAACAAGTCAATATTTTAAATATTTTACACTGTGTTCAAGTAAAAAGTGACCAAAAGTAATACATGCCAAAACAACAATGTCTTTGTTAGTGATTCTTGCACGAACATGGACTAGTGAATTCTTATTATACAGGATATTTAATGTAGACGTTTTATTATAACAGGATCCATAAAGAATTATCATAGAACACCTGACTAGTCATGAAAAAATTCAGATTGTATTAAACCAGATACTATCATGGTATCTGCTTAAACAAAATCATATGTATGTACATGTACGTGTGCATATATATGTATGCGTATTTATACACATATATACATACATATATACATAGGTTAAGGCTTATTAATTGAGATACTTACTACTATTAATAATGTAGCTTGGAATCATTTTACCTTTTAATATTGCTGCTGAAATTCCAATGGTAGCACAAAATAGGAGGGGAAAAGCAAAGGCATTAAAGAGTCGCATGGAATAATAATTTGCCTGTTGGGTGTGCCTAAATGCACACACGTAGGAAAGGTCTGAGTTAGAAAACGGGCGCATAACGAACACCAGGTACGTAGGAGGATTGGGGAAGACGAGAACGCTCTGCCATTGTTTCCACGTGTAACACCTTTGCACACATACACCCTATTCCTCGCACTGCTGTCCAACAGTGGGCATTTGAAAGACTCTCAAAGGAGAGGAAAGCAACATGGAAAGACAAGACCAAACAAGGATTTGGATAGCAACAGATTATTGCAAAATTTCTTTTCTTCTTTTTTTTACTGTTCCACTGGGAAGATATAATGAACGGAATCAGTTTCCTTCATGTCTGTCAAACGAACACCCCAGGGATTCCACAGCCACATACAAATTGCACAGCTCCCACCGTGGGCGGTGGGTGTGTCTAGAGCGTCGGAGAGACTGCTGCCCTAGGCAGGGTCACAGTCCGCGTCTGATGGCCCACCTCCCCTCAGCTCTCCCTGCTCCTGGGGGTGGAGCTATAAAGAACACTAGTAAGACCTTGCATTTACCCAGTCATTTGGGTTTCAAAGATCATTCAAATCACTCACAAACACTGTGGCCTCACTCGTGCACCCTCATGCGTTAGCAGGGCGTGCCATCTTGTTCTTCAGACAGCAGCCGCCTGCAGCTCCTGTGGCCTACACGCGGGTCTATCTCAGAGGGGAGAAGCCGCTGGGTTTCTACTGCCTGCACCACAACCGTAGTCATGTGACCACAGGCAGCTGGTGAAGCCCAGTTTGTACTAGACTGGAGACAACACCGCTCTGCCCAGCCCCCTTCACTCCTCATACAAGACATGCAAGGTGCAGCATCAGTGAGACCGAGTGCTGAATTCTGTGGGTGGGAAAATGACTCCGCTGAGGTCATCATCTCTTGTATTTTTATCACCGGGCAGAATCAAAGCACAAATTGTAAATCACACATTAAAACAGAATTCTAAAAACATCCTCACTTCGCAAACAAAGCCAAATCAATGTTATTACTCTTATTTCCAAATGAAAAATTTATTTTGAAACCGTCTTCTAAAAATTGTACTTATTTTACCAGTCAACCAAATTAAGTTTTTGTCACTCCCTTTTTCATAAAACTAGTCAAACTGAGGCTAAACTGCATTAAAGAAAACAAACCACTTTACGCTTACCTCGGTCTTTCGCTTTGTCCGAAAGCAGCACCTCCACCTCCTCGTACTCCCGGAGAGCATCCAGAATAATGCTTCCTTCCTTGCTGAACAAGAACAGCATGGGGATCTTGATGTCATCGGTGTCCTTCCCGTCCCCGGCCATCTGGAACAGAGGGGCAGTGTCACTGCTGCTCCCCTCATTGTCATCTAGCCGGAGAAATGGAGAGAGCAGACTAATGAAAACCGTCGTCCCCTGGAAAGGTCCATCCGCCCACCGTTCCTGCGCGGCACCTGCTGGCAGTGCGCACTCTAGGCACCGAGAGCCAAACCGGCAGGCTCTCTGGGCCCGCGAATTCTACCCCCAGAAATTCATCCCGAGGAAGTGATGCAAAAGCAGCACATGGCCTGGGCCCACAGAAGTCTGCCGCAGTGCCTACGGTCAGTACTTGTGGACAACTGGGAGCCACCATACACCCATTACCGCGGACTACCGGATGGAACAACGGAAGAACAAAATGTTACTTGAAAAAACTAGAACATAAAATTCTATGATATGATTAAAAATTTCATACGCTTATGAAAAAGACTAGAAATGGGAAAAAATCAAAGGGTTGGATGAAAAAGATAGAACTATGAATGAGCCCTGGCTGGTATAGCTCAGTGGACTGAGTGTGGACTGCAAACCAAAGGGTCGCTGGTTCGATTCCCAGTCAGGGCACACGCCTGGGTTGTGGGCCAGACCCCCACTAGGGAGGGCACCAGGGGCAACCACACATTGATATTTCTCTCTCTCTTTCTCCCTCCCTTCCCCTCTCTAAAAGTAAATAAAATCTTAAAAAAAAAGAACTATGAATAAAATTTTACTGCTGTTTAAGATTTCCTCTAATGGCATAATATTCTTTTACCAAATTACAAAATGATGACTGTGTTTTAAATACTGGTCACAAAAAACAGTTAGGACTGTAGCGGTTCTCCCGTGTGAGGAGGAGTGGGCACGTCCGTCACTGTGCACGGGTGAGAGCACCAGGCTGGTGCGGCTCAGTTGGCTGGGCGCCATCCGCAGAGCGAAGGGTCGCCAGTTTGAGTCCCGGCTGGGGCACGTGCCTGGGTTGTGGGTTCCTCCCCAGATAGGGTGTGGCATGAGAGGCAACGGACAGATGTTTCTCTCTCATATCAATGTTTCTCTCCCTTTCTCTTTCACAAAAATAATAGTAGTAGAACAGCTAAATACTGTTTTTTAAAAAGATTTTATTTAGGCTAATAACCCTGGCAAGTGCCCTGACCAGGAATCGAACCAGCAACCTTTCGGTTCACAGGCCAGTTCTCAATCCACTGAGCTACATCAGCCAGAGAGCTGAATACTCTTTTACTGGTGACACCAGTCATGTCCACCCTTAATCTCACGTGCCAGTCTCCCTGGAGAACCTGCCCGCCCTTCTCAGAGGGCCTGCTGTGATGGGCCCTGCTGAGTGGAAGATATCATGCAGGACCCACCCCTTAGCATCACTGATCAGACAACGGAGGGCTCCTGACCCTCGGTCTCTCTGGGGGACCTGCAAGTGACATGAAGAAATCAGTGGGAATGTTAGCAGTGGGAATGGCCATCTGGGAACTGGTGAGCAAAAAGGGAGCAGGCTGGGGAGAAGCTGGGGAGGGAGTTCTGCCCTCTGTGCCTCGGGCGGGACCCAGAGACAGCGACAGAGATGTGAAAAACGTGAAGTTTTTCCTGAGGACTTTTAGTGCCAATGCCACTTCCTTAGAATGTTCAGTTTCATTTCTTACTCTTGGTTCAATGAAAATAATCTGCTTTCCATATCGTAAACCAACCTCTCTTGCTAAACCAACTTAAATAAACTGTCTCTTGCAGCCAGATGATTTCTAAGATAATCTGCACTTCTAGTACTAGCAATAAAAAACAACAAAGTCCTAATTTGCTCATTTATATTCAATTAAAACCATTAAAAAACAAATACCTTATCAGAAACAAACAAAAAATACTTAGGGAAAAGAAGTTACAACATAAGAACGTTTCCCTTCAAAGATTAAGTTTTCTGAGAATAAGGATCATTGCCTCTCAATTTATTAACGCACAGAACTCAGTGTAGGATTCTGTAAGAAACAGAAAACGTCTGCCCTGACACACCCTACGGAGCAGAGAATACGCGAGAATCAGAGACTTCACCGCCAACAGGGGAACTCTCAAGTCTTCCACATAGGTTCTAGACTTTATTTTTAATACACGTTTTCTGTCAGTAAGAGATGTTTGAAATGATAGTTTGTCAAGCTATTAAATTCTTAAAAAAAAAAGTCTCAGTGCGGAAAATAGCCAAGGATAAAAGAATGATTTCAGTCGGGCACCAGCAAACGTTTTGTGTAGTTGGCTAAGCAGGGAATATTTGCAGCTTTCCAGGTCCCTGTTGCAGCCACACCCCGCCACCGCCGCAGGGAGGCGGGCACGGGTAAGACACAAACGTACGGGCAGGCGCGTCCCAATAAACTCTCTTTACGGAGGAAACGGGCAGTGAGCCGGAGCTGGCCCACAGGCTGGAGTCTGCCAACCACCGACTCAAGTTACGAGGCAGAACTCTCCCAATACTCACGTAACTAATGGAATTTACGCATTCATTAGGCTACCAACACTGGAGTGTCTATATGTGATAAGCAAAAGGAATAGTAAATACCTTTCCACTGAAATAAATCCTAATGTTTTAAATGTCGTAATTTTTACTTACCCTAAATTCAAAAAGGAAATCTCTACTGAACAGAGAAAAGATTCAAAGTGGATTTCCCCTGTGAGAGAAGCTGGCAAGAGAACCAACTTTGCGTTTAGGATGTGACGTCAGGTCTTTGGTTCTTTCTAAATGTGAGCTCCTCCCGAGTTAAAGCATGGAAAAAGTTCTGTTTCCCTGACAGTCACGGCCTGCTGGATATGCTATTAGGTGATTTTCTATGAAAAATAAAAAATCAAAGCACACTGGTTGAAATACACGAGTGCAATGATTTGAAGTTTGTGATTTCAGTGGGAAAAGGCCCAAGGAGATAAAAATTTACTAGCAGCCTGCGCACATCCCTACGATATGACAGCTATTATACTAAGACATTTTATACGTAGTATCTTCAAACCTTATAACCTCCTGAAAGATATTTATCACCGTTTTCACTGCAGCTCAAAAAACACTCCCCTGGAGACACAGACCAGTAAAGCCGGGCGGACGCGACACCACGTTTTTGTGGCAGAGCTGGGGCGCTCCGTCCGCCACGGCCCAACTCCAGACCCAGGTCTGCATGGCAGAAGAGACACTCCCAGCGGCTCCCACTGGAGGCGGCAGCGGGATGCACTTCTGCCCCTTGGGGGCTCTGGGTCTTGTGGGCACATTTTCTCATCCACGACGTTGGCTGTCTTTACCACTCACCTCTACCCACCTTCACACCTGTCCCTAAGTACCTTCAGAAAAGATATGAGACCTACGGAGATCACTAAGAGAGTCTGTGGACTGCCTGTTCAGTATGCCGTCTAGTGAAGTAAAAATACGACACACTTTTTGTGCGATTTTGGGAAACAGAAGGACAAGTCCTGAAAGCGACTCCCTTCCAGCCAGCGGATCGGGCGGCTGCGGAGGACGACGTACCGATGACAATGCCGCCGATGGCTCCCGCGTTCTGGATGTGGCGTGCCTTCTCCGCAAACATGCACTGTCCTCTCTGTATCAAGGCGATCTTCCCCATCACTGCCTCGGGGTTGGTCAGCTCTGAACAACCATTGTATGGTTTGCTGCTTGCAACAAATCCTCTTGTCTGTCAAAATAAAGATAACAAATATTCTTTTATCTTCTCAAATCACCATCTAGTCATTTAAAAAGTTCCATATCTAGAGCTTTAGGTAGATCTCATTTTTTTAGTAACACCATCGTGTCCAATATATGGTTAACATCAACGTTTGCTTTGAACATTTTGCATGTCATAGCATACCGCCAATATTTCTATCGTGCTTGGAAGTTTATAAAGCACTTTACATAAAGTACTAAACCCGGTCTTCCTAACAACCCTGAATGAAATGATACAGATAGCACCCAATTTTGCACATGCGGAAACTGAGTCTCGGGCTACATAATTTGCTGTAAGACATATGGCAGTAAGTGGCGGCGCTGGAACCTGAAGGCAGACTCACAGCGCGCCCGCGCCCACACGCAACACCGGTCTCAAGGACGGTAGTGTAGAAGTGTTTTCCTACTCCTCCAGGACAGCAGTTTTTAAACTTTTTCATCTCATGGCACACACAAACTAATTACTGAAATTCTGCAGCACACCAAAATATATTTTTTTTTGCTGATCTGACCAGAAAAATAGGTATAATTTTGATTCATTTATACTAGATGGCTATTGTGCTGGCCATTGTCATTTCTTTATCTGACAGTCTCGAGGCAGAGAGGCCGGTGCCCCTGACCGAACAGTCAGGTGCCGTGTGTTTTAAACATGCTCACAGCACGCCGGCTGAAGACTGCTGCGCTAGGATGGAAACGTGCTGGGGAGGGCACGGGTCTGCACAGTGCCTAGATGCAGCAGCAACTCAGTCAAGGGCTATTGAATGGGTAAACAATCTATGAACCTACCTAGCTTTAAAATGCACACAGACTTTGTCTAAATCAGGGGTAATAAGTTTTTAAAAGCGTGTTTTTAGAAGCGTCCGACCTTTTGGAATCTCTGGGCCGCATTGGAGGAAGAGTTGTCTTGGGCCACACATTAAATACACAAACACTAGCAAAAACTGATGAGCAAAACAGGTCTTAAGCAGAGGTTTTAAGAGGTTTCACTTGAGCACCCTGGCACGAGGTGGAGCCTACCAAGTCCAATTTTTGTCCAAAGAAAGTTTTAGCAGTTGTTAAAAAAAAACCTGAAAACCATTTTAGATTCACGGTACTAATTTAGAGAAGAGACCAAGAATTGGAACAGTAACCGAACAATATTTTAAATAAAATTCTGAAAACATAATGTCTATATAAACTAAGACTCAAAAATTTCAAGATATGTTTTTAACTTTATTTTATTCTGGGATATTGAAGATTCAGGTCTTCAAAATGAATTTAAACTGCTAAGTCAGAAAGGAGACTAAGAAACCAGACAACACTCGAACAGCATCTTTGGCTCGGCTCCCGCAAGCGCGGCGTCAGGAGTGCGCTCACCTCCTTGTGCTTGGACAGGTCGAGCCCGAACTGGGCCGGGCCGGCCGTGAGCACCACCCGGCCGAAGAACGGGTGGGACACGATCTGCACGGCCCGCGGGGGCAGCTGCTGCTCCTTCTGCTGCTGGCTGGACAGCTCGATCATCTCCTGCATGAACCGCAGCCCGTCCTCCGCGTCGATGGAGCTGGCAGCCTGGACAGGAAACACGGTTTCATCCTTTCGGGGAACGGCCCACTTTTCTTTCTTTCTTTCTTTCTTTTTTGGAAACATTCAATTTTTTGATTTCTCAAGTCTTCCACTGTAAATCTTTTCAGTTTTGATCCCTACCAAATATTTATGGCCCAATTCGTTCCAAAAAATATTACTTTTAGAAACATTTCCTGAAAATTACATCTGTAGTTTTTACCAGTACCTTTCACTGTTCTATAAACCACATTCGACACAAACTGAGAACTGACCGCCACCCAGCGACTAAAGGCTCCTTCTGCCGGTTTTCGCCATGGCCTCCCCTCTCAGGAACCAAACCTCACACCTGATCCGTGCTTCCTTTCTTTGACACTATGAACCAACTACCAGATTAAATTCAAAACATATTTATCAGGCGACTATTCTATTCCAGCACTTGACTAGACACTGGGGAGACAACCTGTAAGAAGTTTATATCTAGAGGAGAGAGACGTGTAAAATTAGCTACGTTAAATTTTTCAGGTGGGAAAGTGGACAAGGAAATGACCAGTTGTGCCAGTGTGGATCTGGAAAATACTTGGAATGACATTTGAATGGAGTTTTTACAGAGGAAAACCTGAAGAATGCCCAGCTACAGTGGAAAAAAGATGGATTCCTGCCACTTGACAAGAAAAGCCAGGGGGGCCTGATAGGAGAGGAGGGGGGAGCTGGGAGACAGAGACGCGGAAGCCTGTCCTGAGATGTCCTGTTCTGGTGACTCAGAGGAGGGTGGTGTGTCTGCTGAGATGGGGACACGGAGGAGGAGGGACGGACTGAGGCGGGGGCCGGAAGAGGTGATTCAGGTTTGCACAGGCTGAGGCTGGGGTGCAGAACGTAGACAGGTAGGTCCAAGCTGGCTTTAAGAGTAAAGTCAGGAGTCAGGGTTACTAAGACTATCTAAGCCGCCCAGTGTGCAGGGATGACAGCTGAACTGCAGGGACAGGCGAGCTGCTGAAGAACACCACAGAGAGAACGCTGGGACCGGGGCTCGGGTTGTGCCAAGGGACAGCTACACCGGCAGGAGCGGGGCCCTGGGAAGATGTATGCTGCTGGGCATCCCTGGAGGCCAAGGAAGGGGGATGCTTTAAAAGGGGGTCAGTCAACAGCTGCACAACAGCTCCATCCTGTAAGGATTAGGAGGCCATTGGGTGGCAATGATGTCACTGGTGGCCTAAATGTCATTGGAGATGCCACTCCTCCTGAGGAGTGGAAGGGTGAGTGACACATAAGGAAGCAGGCAGAATGTTCTCTGAAGAAAGGATGGACGTGGCAAGAACAAAGAAGAGACAGAAATCTGAGGGGCAGGGGAGGCTGTGGGAGGTGTGAATGTAAGATTTACAGATACCTGATTATGGTTCTAGGTTGAAATTACTTAGCAAACTACGTCGTTTTCTCAGACGTAATGTACCAGTAAGATGAACGCTTTAAAGACCTCATGTTATAAATACTTTTAAAGCAAAAATCAATAAAAATTTCCCCAAAAGACATGTTATCTTTTTTATGCATAGACAAATGAATGCAAATTTTGATTTCTATAGTGAATAAAATGCTTAGATTCAGTAGCTCTTTGGAAACTAAAATAATGTAAAATGTAGATATAAATATTAAACTAATTATTACAAAATTATGCTGTAAATCAACATAATGGAAAGATAAGAGACTGAGAAACAGAGAACTCAGACATGAGTCCTGTATTTGACTTGATTGACTAAAGCAAACTACCCAGTCTATTCGAGATTCAGTTGCACTGCAGCATGCAGGGGCTGAATTAGATGGCTTTCCAACGTATTTTCAAGTCCTAAAATTTTGAGTCTATAACTTTAACCCATACTTTAAACGGTTTTTAAAAGCCCACTGTCATTATCTTATTAAAGCACACGAGACCAGAAACAGCAGAGTTGGACCTAGTTAGTACAGCAATGTCTTACTTGGATTGCATGTTGAACCAACTGGACTCTCCCATCTTTGAGGTGAATCAAACTCACCCCCATCTTCTTCAAGATTTCTAAGTGCTCGGGGTTAGTGGCCATGAAATCTCTGGCTCTCAGAGGGGGTTTAGCTCCACTCCTGAAACTCTCCTCTCTGCTAAAAGCAATTATAGGCAAGGCTTAAAAAACTACAAGTCAGAACTGGGGAGAAACATAAAGCAAATAAAAATAATGTTAGATACTTGCAAAATTGCTAGTTTTAGAACTAGTGAAAATGGACTAACTGAAAACAGGCATTAACCTATATTTGTATCTTAGGATATTAATAAGTGGTATAGCTTTTAAATATAATTGTTTTACAGTTGTAAGACCATGTACATTATCCATCCGTAAGGTAGTATTAGTGAACAGAATTATAACCACTTGAAAGCACAGAGTAGGTTGGCTTTGGGATGTGTTACTACTGATTTCTTTCTTAAAAAAGAGTTTTTTCTCCCCATATTTTAAAAGCAAAACAACAGTTGCATCAGTGACAGATAACACTGACTAAAAGTTTTTATTTTTATTTCCTATTAATGGCCTTTCTAATTTAACTACTTGGAAGGAAATGAACTCATTAAGGCCAAAATCTTATTTAACAACTAAGAATAAGTACCTTGTGAAAAAACAAAATCAAACAAAAGAAAAGCTATATTTCCACTACACAAAAGCTACAGGTAAAAGGAAAAATATTTTCTACATATACGAGATATATGAAAATATTTGATGAAACTATTCTGTATAAAAATGAGCTATACATGCTGAAATTATATGCTGCCCACTGACTATTAAGTCCATTAAACAAGATAAACAGAAAATGTTCATAATAATAAAACACACTGCAGAATAAACTTTGCTATCTAACTTTACTAGCAGTTTTTGTTTGGGTCAGTGAGACCACACACCTCAACACTTTTGAGCTGAGTGGTACCTGTCCGCCCTTACATGTCCCCTGTGTTCTCTGTCGTCTACTGAGAATAGCCCTGATAACGGTCGGAAACGTAAAACAAGACGTCTTACACTCTGATGATGCCTCTGGGGCAGCTCTTATCCACCACATTTTTCAAGGGCTCGCGAATGCTCTGAGCGTACAGCGGGTCGTTAGGGAAGAGAATCTGCGTGTTTGGACAAGTCCAGTCGAAATTGCTGTCATCCAGTTCTATGTACTCTGAAGTCTACAATGTAAAAGAACGTTATGTGAGTGTGACTATTTCACCTAACATTATACCTTGTTCAAAGGAGAGGTTAAATAAAATGTAAGTGTACACGGGATGCAATAAAACAAAATAAGAAAACATCGAGTGTACTTTTCCTCCCACCACACTACAGTTACTGAATTCTAGTCACGGACTACTTTCCACTTGGAAAAATAAAACAAACACAGAGAAGTAAAATACAAAATAAGACTGTGATTAAAAAACATAACCTACTGTGTTCTTCTTGGAGGTGCTCTGATTAGTAGTAGAGAGCCAAAGAGGTAAAAGGTGAGCTTCTGTTGTGAATATATAATCTTCTATGTCAAAAATAATATCTTCTTTATCCGCAAATAACAGGTAAAGATATTTAAACATTTCAGCCAAGAAGAAAGAATCCATCCTAAAATAAGAGGTCACAAATAAATTTAAGAGCATAAGAATATCCTAATGCTAACGATCCGAAGGCCAGAGTCCAGGGGCTGATCTGTCTACACCAATTCAGACGTCCACAGAACTGAAGAACTCATCTATCCCCTGGTGATGACGGCCTGGGCTCCAAGTGTTTCCCAAGGAAATCAAGAACACCAGTGCACCTGCCCACCACACAGGTACACTGGGCCTTGCCAATACTGCAGACCAGATTCTCCTACTGGCCTTCCAATGAGGGAGAGTGCTCCACTTCCTCTACAGGGAGCCAGCAGTCGGGAGGTAATGCAGGGAAACGCTACTACTGAGAACCGTACAATCTTCAACTAATATTAACTGAATGGGATGAAGTAATACAACTTTGATGGGGTTTACTACGCAGCTATTCAAGTGATAAACAAAAAGGCTTTAAAGACAAGGGGATCAGGTACAAAAAGTTGCATGAAAAAAAGAATAACAAAATCACACAGAGTATAACTATAAATACCTGTGAAGAAAAATAAAAGCAATAAAAATATGTAACATTATGGACTATTTAATGTCATAATGTTTTAATAAACAATTTTTAAAAGCTTTAATAAAATTAAAAGTGGCAGGAAAAGAGCATGGCTGTTAGATGGAGTGACAGTAATATGAAACTTAATTAAAGGACCACCTCCCAAAGCATCATGGTTTTTGACAGTAATAACTTGCAGTTTGCTGGACAGGTTGCACAGTTTCATACCTCTGGCCAAGCACAACTCCTGGAACACAGTAGGCACTCAACAGACATTTAATGAATTGAATGCAAGTCTACACAGCATTACTCAAGAATGAACTGGAGAGGTCGTGAAACATAGTGGCAAAGAACATGGGTTTTGGAGACAGAAAAGACCTTCCCCTGACCATGGCGATGTGATACAGGGACTGTGAACTTCAGCACATTCTTCTGTGACGAACATCATCACTACACACCTGACACTTGTGTGAAGATGAAATGAGGTGCTCTGTGTCCGTTATGCAGCAGAGCACCCGGCGTATACATATGAGCTCAAAAGTAGAACCACCATTCTCCTCCCTACACATAAATGATGATTCACTCTGAAACAACAACTCACCCAACATGCTTCAAAACCTTTTTGAACATTTCAGACGACAGTCTCTACAGAACAGATAAAACACTTCCCTCTCCACCTGCCGTACACCTACAATGAGTTAACATTTTCCAAAGGACAGTTATTATCACGAGCAAATGCTAGCTTGAGAACTGTAGACTCATGAGCAGGATGCTGATTTTTGACAAATTCTAGAACTGATTACAAAACAGAGAAACACCTGGAAACACTTGGGAAAGAATAAAGACATGGTCTGGTCACTACGTATGAGTTTCGTAAAGCTGGCACGTTGGGTATCCTATCTACCTAATTTGTGTTAAAAGTCAATAAACACATACACACGTGCAAACACACGGGCATTAAAAATGTCTGGATTTGATTGACAGTATTGTCAATCAAATTTCCAGCAGTGGTTATCTTAGGGTGGTCAAGTAGGGAAAGTGTCTTAGGGAGGTCCTCATACTCTTTTTGCCATCTAAATTGTCTCCAGCGGTCATCTACTACTAGGAAAATACAGACGCTTCCATGTGGAACACTGGGGCGGGGGGACACTGGGGAGCCAGACGATGGCACTGGAAGGCCTGCTGGGGAGGAGACAGCCAAAGGCGGAGAGCTCATAACAGAAAGCCACGAAGTCGTGGTCCTGGCCAACATTCTTCCCAAAACTGTAGGTGGAAATTTTTAAGGCATGCTTATCTAAACGGCAGATCACTGAAAACAGGGAGCTGAGCTACTACATTAGATGACTGAGATGAGAATCAAGTTCTCTTTTTGGTCTAAAAGCACTCAAAAAACCCAAAAACAAGAAACCATGAAATTTTGCTGGGATAAGTATAAAGTTCTAAGTTTACACTAAAAAAAAAAGTCCAGTAGCACAGGAGCAGCGTGGGGAACGCCCCTTTGTCACCAGGTCGTAATGAAGTATCCGAGACCCACTGGCCAGAAGTTCGCTGTGAGCTGAACATAATAAAGCTGCCTGAAAATCTAAAGCACGTCCAGGAGCACAGTATGACGAAGAGCAGTGGTTCTCAGCCTTTTCCTGGGCCCAGTGCATCAGAGGGGTGCATGCTGCCTTGAGTCGATGACCCGGCGACCCTCAGCTGCATGGAGTGTAAGCCCATCAGCCCCTCGGGAAACGAGCAACCTCGGGCCCGGGTCCAGACGGCAACGGTGCTGATGTGCCAGGCATGCCTTGAGTGTGGTTAGTTCTGGACCACACTCTAACCACATGCTATTTTAAGAGACGCTGTATATGCTGGAATACAATCAGAATGGAGCGAAGGCAGTGGGTAAGAGGTCCCGAAACAATGTCACATAAGGAATATTCAGTGTGGGGGGGTATTAAATTTAGAAAACTGGAACTTGTTGAACAGTAAATCATGTCTTTCTTTCTAATACCTCAACCTACTACTCCTCTTTCTACTGCAGCACCTATCACAGGCTGTACTTGGTAGTTAATTCTTTACACACCTATTTTCACTGACCAAAAGTCATGAGGGGACAGGGACTGATTCTAATTTATCTTTCCATCCTCAAGGTTAATGAAGTGCAGCGCCTCGCATACAGTAAGTGATTAATTAGCACTGTAGTCAAAAGCCAATCTGCCTTGATTAGTAATGACTTAACCTTACCAAATGTGTGCCCTTGGGCAAGTTCCCTAACCTCTCTGTGCCTTGGTCTCTTCGCGTGGAAAAGGGCGATTATAACAGAAATGCCACATCAGAAGGCTGTTGTACACACCGAAAGTGCTTCGTCAGAAGAGCGCCTAGGAGGACGCAGGGAGCAGTGTGGACTCACAGGCCGTCTGCTCTGTGTGCCCGCTTTCGGGAACCCGCCCTTGCTCCCGCGTCAGCTGCGGTCCGGGAAGGAGGTGTCAGGACGAACAACTACCCAAATACTCTGAGGGAGGGGCCACGGGACAACCCTGAGTAGATGAAGGACACAGGACCTTCCAGAAACTGTTCAGTGATTACATCTCACTTTGCATTTCATGTCCCTTTAATATGCTTCATGGCACTTACACAATGTTTTAAAGCCCATTTATCTGCCTGTCCTCAGAAATTCAATGACAGAAAAGACATGTCTCCATATCATTAATCCTCAAAAATACTGTAACTCTGGCACATAAGACACCTGGGTAAATATTTGTGGAATGAATATTTGCTAACCAAATGAACAAAGAAGCTTTGCTATTCTTTTAGAATAACTGAAATGCTACTGAACATCACCTTAACCAAAGCGCACTTTTTGTATCTTGAGTAGTTCGTGTGTCTACATCTATCCAGCACCCAATGACACAGAAACCACCCATCATCTTTCCCAGCCTCCAGATCTGCAGCAGAGTGAGTAATACACACACTGACCATGACATGGTTTTTGCGGAATTCTTGGCCGAACACAGATCATAATCCAGATTATTCACCATTACCTCAATAATTTCTAACATTTTATATAACATAAAAGAACTATTGACAAAGGAAAAATAAAACCTCAATATTCCTAATACTCCTAATACCAAGGTTCTGACATTTAACAATCTCATTTGTTCATCTTTTTAAAAATCGTTTGAGCGTCTTCTCTATGCCAGGCACTATGATAAAAATACACTCTTCAAACAATTTAAAATGAGCCCATTGAGGCAAGTTAAAAATAAAACCAACGAACTACGGTTTGCATCTTCACACACCCTCTGCAGAGGATTAAGGAGTCCGAACTCGCACAGCCGTATTTTGGGGAATGCTTTACCTGTCCTCATGACTTCCCGTACGAACATCCTTCATGGCAGCAAATCCGCAAGGCACTCTAGCATACTTATTTAAATTTTCAATAAGTGTTTTCCCTACTTCAAGGTAGTAAGGGTCTCCTGTAGCCTATTAAAAAGGAGAATATATACACATATATATCTTATATATTACCATACATTCATTTATCAAATATTTATTGAGTACCTACTAGGTGCCAGGCATTGTATCAGGCACAGGAACACACGTTACATAGAACCTAGCTCTGAAAATAAGCCGTGGAATCTGCTTTATATAATTACTTAAACACACCACTGGAAAGCCATCCAATTGTGTATCTTAACCTTGACAAAAGTTTCCAATGCCCAGAAGGTTTTCTGATTAAAGGAAGGCAAGAGCCATGCTTTAGAAAGCAGCTCTAGAATATGAAATTTCTCTTTAAAGAAATGATTACATGGCTACCATGAAAAGGCCTAAAACTCAGCTATCAGTTCTTGCCTCTCCCAATACCTCTAGGAGCTGGGTGAGTAAAAATCCTGAGGTGTCCAACCAGCACAACACCAAACGAGGACTCTGAATTACTCTTATAACGGGGGGGAACGGGGACGGGGGGACGACAAAACAGTGAAAAGGAAGGCAGATCAGCTTACTTTATACAAGAAGTAGGTGCTTTCTGCAAATTCTGGTCTTAGAGGATGCTGAGCCCAATGTACTCTGAAATCTGTGGTAAATGCCTAGAGAAAAAATATTCAAATAGGAAAAAAAGTGATTAGAAATAATAAACTAGGCCTAAAATATATTGTAGTATATAAATTAGATAAAAAACAAGTAAAAATCATTAGAATACTGATAAAAATTTTCATCTGGACAATAAAAATTTTCTCTGCTTAAAAACCACAATTCATCTTTGCTCAGGCTCCTATTAGTAACAATTAAATGAAATTTAAATAATCACTGTGGCTGCTGAGAAGCTTAGAAAAACTGTGAAACTGAGTAGTGACACCACATGGGTCCCGACAGTCCCACACAACTGTGTCTCCTTTTTCCCTGTCTCTGCTTTTCTCTTAATGAAGTCCCCAGTCCTCATATTTCTATTTTTGCTTATGCTTTCTTTTATAACAGCCTCACATTCTCTGTGGAATAAGGAAGGCATTATTTAAAAATAAAGCTAGTCTCGCTCGAAACGTACTCAGTAACAGAGCCAACTGATTTAAAGGCAAACGAAAACCCTTATGAGAACCAAGTAAAATCTCAGTTGCGATAACATGTATTTAGTTGAAGCCTTAGTTTATGCTGAGGGAATGTGAATTTTCTACAATGCTCAGTCCCACTCACCTGAAGGCTGACAAAATGCTACTTTCTAAAGCGAACCCTGGGGGAAGCGTTCATTCCTAAGCACCTGGTGCGATGCTTGGGTTTCTCACAGGGGACAGTGACTAAGCAAGGGCAGAATAAGGCCATACATGAATTTGGAGATTTTTAATGGTACATTTCTGGAAAGCCAAAAAGTGTATTACTAAAATCTTGCCATATGAAGCTAGCAAGAATATCTATTACTGATACCGTGTCTACAAAGCAGGGGGAGTAACTGTCAATCAGCATGAGGAAGAGCTGCATTCCCCACATTTCCAGGGAACATGCGTGATTGGTAGGAGTATACTCAGTGTATATCGTTTCTATAAAATAAGCTTTAGAAAATGCGAAGGCTGAGAAACTCTAATTCAGGATTTTTTTTTACATAAAATAAGTGTCAGAATTGCCATAAACCAGATTTTTCTGAATACATGAAGAAAAGAAAAAAACATACAATACTCTGTAAGCCAAAAATAAACTATATAACGCAGAAAAAATAGAAAAAAATGGACATTTTCTGTCTTTAAATTAGAAATTTACTGTATATTTAAATTAGAATTCCAAAGATAATTTACTTACCTCTGGTAGAAAATTGTGTTTTTTAATCACCTGATACAACATTTCATGAGTTTCAATAGCAGGTCTAATATCCCCCTTCAAGACCTAAAAGTCAACATAACAATAACATTACCTGACTTTTTAATCTATAATCATTTTATAAACAAGAAAGTACAGCTGAATACAATTTTAAAATGTGACTCTGTTGGTACTCCAATTTCAGAGATCACAAGGGCACTCGGTTATAATTATTTTACTTCAATATCAGGACAGCAGAGTGTCTGGTCGTTTTACCTGCAGACCTGGGAAGAAGGCGAGCAGAGCGTCCATCCAGGTGCGCGCATTCAGCATGGGCTTGTGGATGTGCACGTCGAGCAGAAGCGGGGGCTGGCTGATGTACCGCATGATGGCGTCGTAGTGCTGAAAGATCACGGCAGGTGTTCAGCAAAGGGGACAAAAAGGGTGAGCTATTCTAAGCACAGGATTTCATTAAGCAGCATTGTAAAGAAATTAAACCTGAGTTCATACACTATGAATAAATTTGCAGCACCATTATTATGTAAATATTTAAATTATTTTAGATGCAAATCTTTCTAAAACATATGGTATATACTCCCTGTGTCCTTTAACTCTGATGCAGAATATGGAAGACTGTCATTGATATGGGACCTTCTGGGGGAGCAGATCTGAGTATCACTGTCCTGTGGGATTAGCCCATGGTGATAGACCCCTGTGGACCAAGGACGCTCTTACATCCTCTTGAAATGTAGTTACAGGCTTCTAGATTAACAGAATTAGCTTAGTTTTTTCCTGCATCTAGGAATTTTGGACCCCTGGCTAACAATATGCTGATGCTCACCATTACCCAAACTAATGCATCTAATTTCCATTGCTACTCTTATGGTCTGCTAGGTCTGCCACTTAGACTCCTAAAACTCTTTTTCCCCCTTCTTTTATCTTCTTCTACTAGTTATTCCTCAACTGTAACGAGCTGAGCTGTTCGAGTCCACGAGTGATAATGAGCCAAAAAAAAAATCTCTCGTCATTAACCTCAAGAAAATCTCGTTATAATCCAACTGATGACTTATTACTACTCTTACTAGTTTTGTCTTCCTAACTCATCTACTATTTAATCACTCCATATGCATTAACTCATTTAATCCTCCCCAAACTCTATAAATGCAGAGTACTAGAACTCACATTTTGTGGAGGAGGAACAGAGGCAAACAGTGTAGAGTTATCTGACCGAAGTCAGAAAACCAGTGGTACAACCAGGATGGAAACCCAGGCAGCAAAAGTGCATTACAGTCGTCCCTCGCTCTATCGCGGTTCACTTAGCGCGGCTTCACTCTAGCTCGGGTTTTTTAAAAACCTCGAAACAGTGAAGCCGCAATAAGTGGACTGCGACAGAGTGAGGGACGACTGTATACTTCACTGGTGAGTACCCATATAGAATTTTATATGTTGCTAAAATTACGCAGGTTTAAGAGTGTAGAAAGTGTTTAAGAGCATACAAAGTGTTTATAAGAGTGTGGGAAAGGTTAATAAAAGAGTAGGAAAGGTTTACAGGAGTGTGGGAAGGGTTTACAAAGCCTTAAAATATATATAAATAATAAAGTAAATATAACGCCACTACTTTGAGGATTTTCACGTATCTCGGGGGTCTCTGGAACATAACTCTGCATCACACTGTCTCACCGTGATGTGGGTGAACTGATGGGTGGGCAAAGAAATGGTAGATTACTTCAAAAAGGACAGTGATGTAGCTGATGAGTCTGCTGTATTAATTTCAGTTTCCTTCGATTACAATCAAAGGTGATCCAATTGGGTTCAGTAATACTCCCCAATGCCCCTAAAAATATGCCTGTGGCTCCGACCCAGACTTCAGACTTACAGACCTCTTTTGAAATGAATACCCAGCAGATTCTCCAAGTTTCCACAGCCCTACATACCTGATGTGATCAAGGACCATGCCAAAGTTCCAAAAAAGAAAAAAAGAAAAAAAAGAATCTCCAAAGGCAAAAGTTAACTAGTAATTTATTCCGATAAATTCTCTTCCTTTTATGAAATACTAGGTAAAACTCAAATCTACATATTACTTACTGGCAGCTCTTGAAACCTCCTGATAAGAGATGAAAATAAAACTATTTTTTAGACTAATTTTTGGGATGTATGTGGCTTTTCCCCGTCCCTGTCCAACACCACCAGGAAATACTAACCAAAAAAACCTGCTACACATTTAAAAATAATTATTTTCAGAATGTCCCTCAGATCACTGGGTTTCTATCAAAATCTGGCACTCAGATGAAATTGGCTCTAGAGTTAATACAAAACTGGATCAACTTACTGTATTAAATCTTTCCAGAAAACTGTCATCTCCAAGCAAGACATAGGCTTTCAATAGATATTCGTAATAGGAATCAATGCCCGCTCCAACTCCGCTATCTATGGAAAATGCATATACATGTGAGTCTTTATTAAACTGGTCAAAAATGCTTTTATAGAGTACAAAGGAGGGTACTAATACACTAAGAATGAAAAATCAGTCTAAACATGAAACTGTTTAAAGTAAAAATTACACACTTACATAAGTATTAACATTACTATATGAATAATAGTTCCTTCACTAATAGTTTATATATTTAAAAATGCTACTTGGCAAAATTGCTTACAAAGGCCTTATTTAAAAGCAGGAAATACTAGCTTTATGAATTTTTTTAAGATCATTTTCTCAGTGAGGAATTCCAAAGAGGAAGCACTAAATTATGTATTTTTTTATGAGACCCTTAATCAGGAAGACATCAATCTTTAAAGTTCTAACAGGTATGAAAACAAGAGTGCCACTATTTGGAGTTGTCAGGTCTAATTGCTAAAATTAGCACTGATGGTTGGCTTCTTCCTCCAAGATCATCATAGAGGTTCAAAGACAGAAACTAACAAGAACATTAGGAATCCTGGTGGCAGGGGGAGGGGGGAGGGAAGAGGGACGAGGGCTGCCTTGGCCTGCAGCAGAGGCAGCCAGGCCCGGCTGTGAAGGATCAAACAGCAGGGACACTGCTGGAGCTCAGCTCCTGCCTGTCTCCCCCCACGGCCCGGCACACAGTGTCTCCTGTCACGCCTGCCACAACTCAGATCTACAGGCATTCTCAAGGGTAAGCCCTGCATGGGAAACCGAACAGATGAAGTCGGAACTAACTTCAGACCCTCTCTTCCCCACCGCTTCCCCTCCAAACTCCTAAGGCTGCTGAATTACAGTCTAAATGATAATTATAGTAACAATCTCAGAAATTCCTACACCTAGGGCACCTTCCAGGGCAACCAAATCAGAATGTCCCGAGGTCCAGGCACTGACGTTTTTTAAAACTTGGAATTCATTTCTAAAATCACTGGGCTGGAGAGGAATTGGAGTGTAACTTTGCCACAAAGTACATGACAAGGAAACATGAACTTATTAGCCCAAAACATTTAAGCAACATGACTTTTTAAAAAGAAAAACGCTAGAATAAGAGTTTATCAGAAGAAAAAAAACTCAGAATAGGCATGCTAAAAATTTAAATTGTCCTAATGGATATATTAAAGGGATAGGGAAGATATTAGCAATACAAAATAAGAAAAAACTATTTTAACTGAGCAGAAATACATGGAGTAAGAAACACAACTGTTACAATAACATCACGGGGAGGAGCGCAAGCCGAGGGACGTCCTAGCAAACTGAAAACCGCGGGAGTCTTCTTCCAGAGGAAAAACAGGGTGGGGAAAACAATCTGGATGTTAAGATACACGGAGGATAGAAATGGAAGTGATTTACATAATAGGAACTATAAAAAGAGAGATAAATAAAAATGAAAAGGAGAAAATATCTAAAAAATAAGGGCCAATTTCTTAGCAATTACAAACAAAGATTTTAAATAGAAAGGATTCAGAGAATACCAAAAGGAGAGATAAAGGTCCATGACTAAAATTGTGATAACATTTTCAGAATTTTTTCTTTGGCTTTGATACTCTTAACCTTTCAGAGAGAAAGAGCAGATCATATACAAGGGCACAGAAATCAGAATAAATATCAGATTTTTAATAGGATGTAAGAAGACAATAGACTGCACTTTCAAGAATGTGAAAAGAACTTAAAATCATATCCTGCCTAACTGTCGCTCAAACACGAAATCATAATAAAACTGCTGTCAGGCATGTAAGGCCTCAGAAACTACTAAAAGCTACTCAAGAAAGTTGGGAATAAATACTTAAATAAGAAGAGACAAATCTAAGAGATGTTGCAAGTAATATACAAAGTACAGGTGACCAAATACCTTAATAAAGCTTGTTATCTTTAAAGAAAGAGGGAGAAAGACCAAAAGAAAAGAGAGAAAACGTCTTCACAGTGAACAGATGCAATCGCCATCATGAATCAAGGCAAAGGCGGATGGGGACTGGAGTCGGGCAGAGGGGACGAAGGGACAGGAGAGCGTGCTGAACTGAAGTCCCTGTCTCACCAGGAGGCAAACGTAGGGCTCAGTTAAAAACACACACATCAGAGAGAAACAGAAAAGATGGGATGCGCTGAAATAAAGGTGGTGTCAGTCAGTCCGTGCATGCGTAATCGAAGAGGCGGGGGAGTGGAGGACCACATGCAGAAGTAACGGGCTGACAAGTAGTTGCTTCTGTAGCAGAGGGTCCATTTGCGGGTGCTTGTCACAGATCAAACATGACCAAGTGAAATGGGCCATTCATGGGCCGGTGATGAGAGTGTCATAAGCCAACAATTAGAACTGATTTAATTATGATTAATTAATTTGCACCTGAGTTCCAAAGCAAGTTAAAAAGAAGAGAAAGAAAGAATGAAAAATTCTGAAGCCAGGATTCAGATAGTTTCAGAAACCATTTAGATAAAACTTAGAAAAATTTTATACAATACTGAGTAGAGGCAATAATTGTCATATGTTCAAATTAATAATTATACTTTTAATTTATTTAATAGCAAGCAGTTCTTTTTTATTTATATGTAACATAAGACTTTTGGGAAATAGAAAATTATGTATGCAAGATGATGTCATCAGGAATATCTAGTATATTTCCATTCATCTCTGCTTATTTTATAAGGTGTCCTATAAAGATGAAATTACATTCTTTATACAGTCCTGTTTGTTCATATAACATTGTTACATGCTTTGTCTCACGATTTGAATTCATTCAATAAGAACTGGTAATAACATTGTTGAACACAGAGTTCCACTTACACCTTCCTGTGAGACGGCTGAGGACGCAGATGGCTGAGGCCCTCGAAGACATTCGTTCCACTGTCCCCTCTACGACACCCTCTTTCTATAAATGCTATACCCAGTAAGCTATGAAATAGTAGCACACTAAGTTGTCTAGAAAAAGTGTGCTATTGTTTGGCACACCAAGGAAAAAAATCAGGCTAAATCAGTTATAATTCTGGCAATCTTGTGAAAAATGTGCTTTATCTTGCCCCACAGGCTACTTGAACAAATGAAAACCCCAACCATTCCGAGGACGTGAAGGCCTGATTTAAAAGAACCCAACTTACATACCTTTTCGTACCCAGTCTCCAGTATGAATATTTATAGTCACACCCACTAAATTACTACTTCGCTGTCTTTTTTCCCAGAGAAAATCAAGAGCTTTTCTTGCATATTCCTATAATTAAAAAAAGGAAAAGCATAGTTTAATAACTTCATGTCTCTGGCAAACAGGAAACAACGAAACAAATATCAAAGGCCCACAGAATATTTTAAGGAGTAACTAAAATTTCTAAGATAAGCATTAATAATATATGTTACATTTCCTCACAAGTCAAATCTTGGCTCTTTTTCAGCCAATCAAATCTAGTTAAAAAGAATGACTCTGAAAATGCTATTTAGTGGCCATGATCTCAGTTTGAAATCATCTGGATTCAGCTACTCTTGTAACACAAGTTCACAATCACACACACATATTATTAAATTATGTTAATTGTTGGCATAATTAAATGCTCTTGATTAAATAATTTGTCATTTAGATGTAAAGTGAAAATCGCCTCAGATATTCATATTTAGAAAATAGGAAGAGCTTTGAAAGTTTATACACAATCTTTGAAACACAAACAGGCATTTAAGATCCCACTTCTGCCCTGGCTGGTGTGGCTCAGTGGACTGAGTGCCGGCCTGTGAACCAAGGGGTTAATGATTCATTCCCCAGTGAGGGCACATGCCTGGGTTGCAGGCCAGGTCCCCAGCTGGGGGCCTGTGAGAGGCAACCACACATTGCTGTTTGTCTCCTTTTCTTTTTCCCTCCCTTCCCCTTTCTCGGAAAATAAATAAATAAAATCTTTTTAAAAATCTTTCTTTTTTTTTTTTTAAAGAGAGAGGCGAAGGAGGGGAGAAAGAGAAAGAGAAACAGCAATGTGCAAGAGATACATTGATCTGTTGCCTCTTGTACGCCCCTAACTGGGGAACCAGCCTGCAACCCTCGTATGTGCCCTGACTGGGACTTGAACCAATAACCTTTTGGTTCACAGGCTGGCGCCCAATCTACTAACCACACCAGCCAAGACAAAGATCCCATTTTCTGAACAACTCTTCTTAGTTAGAGAAGAGTCAGTAAATCAACTAGTGTTCATTTGACAACCAAACTTTTAACCTTATAATAGTTTTTTTGTTTGTTTTTCATTTATTTTTACCCATTGGACACTAAATTCCTGATCAAATTCTTCGTTTTGGACAGGTACTAGATAGTTTCTAAGTTCAAATTAATTTGAAAGTATAAATCTACTTAGCATTGCAGAGGTTCTAAAAAAGAAAGAAATCATAAACCAACATGTCACTTTGCAGATATTTAATTCTTGATTGAAACTATTTATGCTGATTTTTAAAACAAGGCAGATTACAGCTTTAATTACATGCTATAGTTTCAGACCTGGAAAGTTTCATCAAGACTATATTTCCCGATCCTATCCTACAGCTAAGAAAACAGTTCTAGTAAAGTCAAAGATTTAATAATCAAAGCTTAAAACTAAATTATAGGACAACTCAATGAGGTCTCTTTATAGATTAGCCCAAAAGTCAGCAAACTTTTTCTGACAAGGACCAGGGAGTTTAAGTCTTTTAGGCACTGTCACAATTTTTCAGCTGTGTCACTGCAGCACAAATGCAGCCACAGACAAAAATAAATAAATGAGCATGGCTGTGCTCCAGTAAAATTCCATTCACAGAAACAGGCCCTGGCCGAATGCGGCTGAAGACCGTAGTCCGCCAATCCTGTGTCAGATCGGTGCTCTATCAACGGCATTAGGTTGCTTATAGTAAATTACTGACCATTCAAGAAGCTTAAAAAATCATGACTCTCGACAGAGTTACTCATAAACAGGAAGCAGCCCGGTGGGAGGCGTGTCGGCTTCGCCTTCAGAAAGGCAAGGCTTCTAACTCCACTTCCCTTCGGTCACCCACCAGCTGCGCGTCCCGCCCTCTGGGCCTCACTTTCCTCATCCGAGCCTCAGAGTCTGTGGTTCAGATCAGTGTGCCAAAGTGTCTCCACTCAACAGTTACCCAGGGTTAGAATGAAAACTAAACCGAACATGACAAACCTGTCCGTGAGGCACTTTGGCACACATACACAATCTGACTTGTTTTATTTACACTCAGATCCAACGTCTCTAAAGCAGATACATTTCCCTCTTTTTGCTTGTTTCATGTGTGTCATCTGATGAATTCACCTGATGAATTTTTTAAAACCCTCCTGCTGCACGTGTTATAAAAGAGAATGTTTTATATTAATATTGTCTCCAATGCTGAGCTTAAACAATTAGATAAAAAAAAAAATTTCAAGTGTGAGACATTGCTAGTCCACAATAAACTACGTGAGGGATATTAAGTTTTCCGGATAATTAATAACTTTTCCCCTGAAGTTATCAAAGACAAGACTCTCAATCAAGACTTAAATGCAAAAAATTCATCATGTTTTAGGTTAGCGAAGTTTTCAGAAATGCATTAGAACACCTCAAAGTCGGACAAATACAAAACTTGGAGATGTCGTATTTCCTGTAAGAGATTTGTGGCATCAAATAAATTCATAGTAAAATGGCTTAAAAAATCTGAGAATAAACCTGAATTTTATAGTTTGTGAAAAAATGCGAAGTTGTAGTTCATGTATTTGCCTCACAATGACTTCTATGTTTCTGACAAAAACTGTGATGGGATTTACACAGTTCACTAAAATAACAGTGATCCTCTGACCATTAATCCTAACAACTGACCCAGGGAAAACGATACAAAGTTAGCTACGCCCAATGCCCAGGAGATCAAAGACTGTGAAAAGCAAACCTCGAATATTGTTGCTCCCGTGAACCGACTTAAAGCAGCAAACTCAAGGATCAAGGTACCTGCACACGCTGTACAGGTGTCGGTCTCAGTCCCTGTCCGGGCTTCTGGTTTCCTGATTCCAAACTTTAAATTAATCTAAATAAAATCAGAAGATGGTTATTGGCAATTAAAGAGATAATGCCTCCTGCACAAGAATATTTTTCAATCAAGACTTCTTATCAGCCCTGGCTGGTGTGGCTTTTAGTGGACAAATGCCGGCCTGCGAACTGAAAGATCACGGTTGTTTCCCAGTCAGGGCACGTGCCTGGGTTATAGGCCAGGTCCCCAGTAGGGGGCGTGAGAGAGGCAACTGATCGATGTATCTCTCCCATGTTGCTGTTTCTCTCCCTTTCTCCTTCCCTTCTCCTCTACAAGTGAATAAAATCTTTAAAACAAACAAACAAAAAAACCTTTAAAAAAGACTTCTTATCAAAACGTGAACATAATTCACAAAATAACTACTTAAATTCAATCTGATGATCTTTGTGACTTTCCAATTATTATTATCTAGGGAATATATTCTATGCACACAAATAAGTTTTCATTGAGTTCCTTCCTCAATGATATTGAAATTCAGTATCATTATAAAAATTACATAGAGAAAATAACTTCTATAACAATTCTGTTTGCAGGACAGTTTGAACTAATTAGTACAAGAATTGGCAACTAGATAGACCAACCCTAGAAGAAATTAGGTTTAATTGAGAATTTGTGAAAAACCAGTACTATATTAAATAGGTCTTCACAGAGAAAGCACTGATCAAGTTATGGTATGTATTTAAAAAGACATTAAAATTCTGTTTTCAGGTTTAAAAAGTTTTAAAATATAAAATACATTGCCTTGCTAATGGACTAACAACACACAAAAAATTATTTCAAAGGACTATTTTGTTTTATAATTCAAAGACAGTCATACTGCCTTTTTATAATACCACAGTATAAACCTTCATTAACCAAACTAAACTGACTAGAAACTGATTAAAAATAGAATGTTTTTCTGTAGTCCAAATAAATAACCAAAACCCAAGCATATGCCAAGGATTTTGCATAAAAACAAACAAAAAAATCAAATGTTGAATATCATGAGTATGTTTCCAAATCAGTTATTCGAATTCTTATAAAGAGAAGCTGAAATAACTTTATTTCTACAGGTCTGCAGAACTCAGTAGCTAGGTATGCTTATGACCCGAACAGTGTCAGTCCACAGACTCCATGGAGGTCTGAGCCCTGAGACAGGACACACCAGGAAAAAACGACTAAAGTGACATGTAGGTGATGCAGGGTCACTATGTGGGCTTCAGTACTGCACAAAATGATTCCATTTTTCCTTGTTAAACTGACAAAAGAATGGTAAAACACTATTATAATGGCAACTGTACAGTGACATGTGCTTTTATACAACACTCAGGAACTGCAAGTGTAGAAGCTTTCTGGAGAACAATTGGGCAATAAGTACCTAAGAGGCCTTCCCTACTTCTGTGACTTTATTTCCTCTTCTAGTACTGTATCCTAAGGAAGAAACAGGTAAAAAGATGTGTATAAAGGACTATTTCAAATATCAAAAAACAGAAATTTAGATAAGAGATTTAATAGTAGTCTGTTTCAGAAAAAAAGTGTTGGTTACAACCCTCTAAACGGAGGGGTAAAGTCAATGGGCTGCGACCTCTGATTTGAAGAGCACCGAAGTGTCCTGATGAAGGAGATGAGTCTTATTTTATTTACATTGGTAGAGAAGTTATTTCAGACTATAGAGATGATGCTTAAAGGCAGCACAATGAAAAAAAAAATAATAAAACTAAACCAAAAAAATAAAACCCTAGGTGGTCTGAGGGACACTAACAGCTTGTTTTGAAAAGGAGGGAATACTCATGCCACTGGGATTCTGGGTAGGAGAGAAATCAGACAGGAAGCCAACTGGCAAACCGTAAGGAATTCTGAAAGTGAAAAGGCACTTAGCACAACAGGAAGAGTCAGTACAATTTCTGAGGGCATTTTGATAAAAACATTTTAGTAAGATTAATTTTTAAGGCTCTGAACCATAAACCAGAGAGAAAAGAATAAGACAAGAATTTACAATAGCTTTGGAATAAAATTATATCAGTTTTAACTTGTGTAGCAGCAACAAGAGAAGAAAAAAGAAGCTTGGTAATGGCTGAGGTGTCTGCCTGGAATGAGAGAGAGAGAGTAATAGTGTTAATAAAGAATGAAATAAGTCAGAAGGGAGAGTTCTTTCTATCTTCAATGGCCTCTTTCCCTCCACTCTAAGCATAACCTTTTTCTCTTGGGGGGGAAAACACGAAGCTCCTTCAAATGATTCTGCTGCCAACTCGCTTTAACCAGCAGAGAAGAAATCTCTAAACAAAGGGTCCGACACTTTCACTGCCTGGACGCCTCTTCCCCCTGTATTCTACCACATTACTTCTTCAAGGCTCTCTGTGCACCTAGCACTAATGTTTTCTAGAACATCTCCTACCGAAGCTTTCTGTGTATGACTTTCTGACGCCATGAGCTACTTTGTGGTCTTCCTCCTCCCTCTGTGCTCTCTCCTCCTCGCAGCTCCGCTTCCTCCTCGCTCCCCTCCGTCCGGTGTCCTTCACTGCCCTCTCCCTGGACAGCCCACAGCTGCTCTCACTGCCTCAGCTGCATCTTCTGCACGGATCATTCTGCGCCCAGACTGCAGTCCAGCACAGTTTCTTCCTTCGGCGCCACAATCTAATGTGTCATGAGTGACACATAAAAGGCTTAAAACTCATCTAAATTCTCACACTACTCAAATCCAAATTAGCTGAAATGTCAATATAAACGTGTTATCTAGCTATGCGGCACCTGTCTCCAGCCTCGAGTGGGTGACGCACAATGGCTGCAATCACAAAAATTCACTGCTGGTTTTCACTTTAGATAGCAAAGGAAGCACTGAAACGCTTCCACATTTCTCGGGATCACTTACCCGTGGATAAGGAAGGCCACTGGTAGTATTGAAAGCTGGTAAAAGTTTGTAACCCAACTGCTTGGCCATCTGCAGGAGCTCGTCGTTGTACCACTGCATGTACTCGCCCTTCTCCTTCAGCATGATCGCCAGCGAGTGTCCCCCCAACAGGCCCCTGCAATCACAGAGAGGAGACGCGGTCCACATCCACGGCACCTGCGCGTCACCGCCCACACGGACGCAGGCGTCTTGTTGGCGACGACCTTGCACACACGGGGAAAGACCGCAGAAGAGCTCCATCTTCCACTAAACTCTGCCTACTCCTTTATGGCAGACCTTTACACTGGGCAGCCAGTATAAAAAAGAATACGGATGTTCTACCTGCTGTAAAGGGTTTGGTATTCTTAAAACCTTAAGTTTTCCTAGAGAAAAGAACATCAAAGTAGTCACTTATTTTAACAAATTTGAAAAATTTAACTTTAACAAAATTTAAATTTAACTAACACCATTATGAAAGCTTTAATTCTTAGTGTAACATTAAAAAAATAAAAAAAAACCCACTAACATTAAATGTAACAAACTCTGGAAAGCTACATAACTATTTCTTAAATTTTTTTATTTAAAAAATTATTTCTTAAATTTAATTGAAGAATAGACTCACTTTGACAAAAGGAAATGAGTTACAATAAAACAAGAGTAACCTTATTAAATATAAAAATTAATAATATTGAAATTTGAGTTAATAAATCCTGTAATTCTGTATTTTTAAATGTTCCAAGAGTACTTCAAATTGTGTAGTTGAAAGGTAATCCTATAAATTTACTTTTATTTGGCTTGAAGAGGTGCTAGCAAAGGCTAGCAAACCTTACTGCTAGTAAAAAACCTGTAATGTAGCTAATATGCCAATGTTCAACCTGTGTTCCTTTCTTAACAATATACAAAAATCAAAGAGATTACCTCTGATTTGAGTCTGCAACTTTTTCCAAAGCCTGCTGCTGCCTGACCCTGATTTAATGCAGGGTCCCCCCACAGCCTCTGTTTCATAATATCCCAACTTTTGTCTTTTAAAAATAAAAACTGTCTTGCTTTCCTCATTAGCATCAAGAAATAAACACTATACCCTAAGCCTTTCTGTTACTGAAGTTATGGCCTTAGTGTCCTCACACTTACCCGAGAACTCTGATGTTTGTTTCAAAGACTGATACGACTACATCATTATCTAAGTTAACATCTCTTAACACTTTCCTCACTGCATCTTCAAATTCTTTAGTTTTATTTAATACCTGGAAGAAAAGAAAATAAACCATTAAAATTAGCTTTTCCTTTCCTTGACTGTTTAATCTTTTCATTTGATAATATTTTGTAGTGCTTTCCTTCACTTGATTTGACACTTTCACTAAAAATTCTACCTAGACAGAAAATATTCCATAAGAGTACCTGATTAAAATTCCAGTAAAATTCTGGGTAAGCTGCAAGTAAAATATAATATGAACCCCGATTTTAAATTGACTGCTTTCCCTTCTCAATCTCAGAGTCCATATAAATTCTGCAGCAACAATCTCCCTGATTAAGGTGCCATCATATAAGCTGACATACTATAAATTATTTGAGTATCTCCATGATTCTACATAATTTCAATTGGCATTCACATGACATTATTCATTCAATACTGTGAAGGATTTATTTTGAAGCAAAGATCGGTACCTCTGAAATTCTGAAAAGCCTTCAGAATTTCAGACTGTGTGTCTATTATGAAATTTATAAAATAAGTAAATTCAAGAAAAATTAAACCTACCACGAGAGTGTCCAAAGAATCGATCAGTGTCAGGGAAAATCTAAGAAACAAGTACAAGACACAAGACATCAGAATTCTGAGTACTTTATCCACGAATGAACGCACAGGCAGGCGTGTCTACACCCTGCTGACTGGCAGTTCCTACTCCCTAGCACTCCACGCATCGACAGCACAACGGAACCCACAAAGCACTGGGAGAACCTGAAAAGCCTTAACATTACATTTATTTTCAGCTCCACATCCCTCAAAATGAATAGAAATATTCATTAGCTCTTTTTAAAGCAAATAAAAATATTAAAGCCTCAAACCTTATAACATGTCGATGGCTTTACATACATGTTAAAAGTGACATTCATCTTACTTCAACAACTCAACTTTCCACCGATCGAAGAGCCAAACTGACGTTTTTACAAAAGATAGCACAGGGAATAAGGAAACTTAACGTAATATTAAAGCAGCCCTTGAAATGCAGGCAATCCCCAGGAACACTACTGTCAACCACCTCTAAGAACCGCAGGCCTGGGGACTGGGTGACGCCACGCCAGCCGTGCTGACACTCACTTGCCCAGGGCGTCATCCACATCACCCCGACTCGGCTCCTGGCCTCTGACGCGGCCTCTGCAGGTTAAAGGCATGAGTTCATCCGCTGGGTAAGCATGTTCCTGCAAGGAGAATCTGAGTGAGTCACTAGGAAAATAAGAGAAAGCATACATCACTTAGAGAACATAACTTTTTCAGTATTTTTTTTTTAAAAGTAAAATAAAGGTCAATCAAAAAATTCTACTATCCTTACAATCTATTGAATCTTTTTTTTTTTTTTTACCAAAAAGCTTGGTTGTAAATGTAATACATGCTTGAAAAATTATATAAGAAAACATTTCTTTAAAATCTCATAATTGGCCCTGGCCAGTGAGGCTCATTTGGTAGGAACATTGTCCCGTGGACCAAAGGGTCACCAGTTCAATTCCCAGTCAGGGCACATACCCAGGTTGTGGGTTTGATCCCCAGTTGGGGCACATGCGAGAAGGCAGGGATTTGATGTTTCCTTCTCACATCAATGTTTCTCTCTCTCCCCCTTTCCTCTCTCTAAAAGCAATAAAAAAATATCCTTGGGTGAGGATAGAAAAGTTAAATTAAATAAAAAATCTGGTAATCTGCTTCCCCTCCACCCAATCCCACTCTCCCGAGATAACTACAGTTAGGACTGGAGTTTGCCCTCCCAGATTTACCAGCACATGTCAACATGCGTGAGCATATGTCGTGTTAAAATCTTATCCACAGTAGGTGTGCATGTCACACGAACGAACACAGTGCCCCACAATCTGTTTACTTAAATCACGGTTTTTCCATACGAGAATTTTGTAGACGTCTTATTCCTTGGTACTCAGCTTCAGAACTCGTCAAACCCTGTACTCGTTGCATTTTGATAAGAAAAAACTATTTCCCACTCGGCACTTGCTCGGGACGTGTCGCACTTCTAGAACTGGCGTGAGTCATGGCACCACCCCGCAAGAGAAAATGCTTCATCATTTGGCGCTCGCCGGTTTCAGCACTTGTCCGGAGTTCCGGGACGAATTAACTAGTGCCACAGTGCCACTCCAACTGCAGAGTCATACTTCTGCACAGGCTGATGTTATGGAGTACGTATGTTGTAAGCACTGTTCTGTACACTTTAGTTCATTTAACTGCCACACAACCCTCTGAAATAGATTCAATTACCTCTATTCTATAGATAAGAAAACCGAGGCCCAGAGGAGGTAAGTGAGCCCACGCCATGCAACGGGCAAAGGACAGATCCAGAATTCACACCTGACCACCTAGCTCCACAGTGTCCACAGTTCTCAGTGCCTTCTCCTCACAGGAGTCCAAAGTACAGACATGCTCAAGTTTACTTGTTCCTCTACTGATAAACATGCAGGTTGAACTCAGCTTTTCACTGCATCACAACACTGCAATAAACATCTATATGCATGTATATTTTGCACATATGCTTGTACTGCTATGGATTAAATGCTTAGGAACAGACCCCATGGGTCAAAGGTATGGCTATTTAATTTTTGGTAGCTACTATCAAACTGAAGACATCAATTTACACTCTTTCTTGTCCCTCTGACACTTGTGTACCTATATGATTCTTAAAGTTCAGCAAAAATATTCCTGATTTCATGTCCAACTCTAACTTACTACCTGTTATTAAACTCAGTTACGTTAATGCCAAACTTGCAGCACATCAGCAGCAGAAAACGAGAATCGAGGGCAAGGACACTGAACGGACGGTCAACAGAAAGGAAAAGACGCCCTCCCCCCAAATAGTCCCAATAACTGAAGTAGGATAAAGAATACAAAAAGCACTAAAGATTGCAAGCCTTTAGGTATTTAAAAAAGTTCAGTGCTCTATAATAATTAATTTCCCAATTTAAAGATTCCAGGCAACAAAAGTTTTGATATCATTAGAATCCACATGCAACTATTAAATTTTGAATTCAATATGTTGTCGTTTTAATTACTACATTGATTTTCAGTATAAATTAATAATTATTTTAACATGTGTCTTTTACATGTCAAGTTGCTACTTTTTCAGTGTTAATTCCAATGGCACTGTGACTCCCAGAATATCCACTATTTCCATTGCTCTGTAGTTTTGTACATAACACATAGAAAAACACTGAAAAGTAATTCAAGAAAAGTAACATTTTTTAAACTTGCTGATGTATTTTGAAAGATATCATCCAAATGTTAATTTGACTTTTAAAAGTTCCTTTAACATCCAGAGTCACTGAAGCCACTGTTTAGAAAGCTCCGTGCTGCTATTTGGGGGGTTTTGCAACACACACACCTAGATGGGCGGCGTGTCTGCAATTACATATGAAACTCCAACCCTAAGCTTATCCAGATAAGAAAAATATAAATAGCAACTGCAAAACAGAATAATCAAATAAGGGAGTTTTGAACCAGCTGTAAAAATACTTCGTGTTCCTGTTTCAAGATTAAGAATAAAAAGAAAACCACAGCCTTTTCTTTGGGTTAACCACAAAGCAAACTACAGTTGGTTTGCATAAATCCAGAATAATGCATACGTGGCAAGTAAACAGCCATATTATGCTTCGAACATCCTGGCTATCTGAGGTGCAGTAATACTTTCTCTTCACAATGTAATGCCAGAACTAGGGGTAATTCACATTGCTATGACTCAGAGTCATGAAGAACATTTCATAATTATCACTCAGGAACAAAACTCAGGTGATAAGGATTCAAAATGAACTAAATAGAATATGTGTCTTGCTAAAAGCAAGACAGAAAACATAAAACAAAACATGGCAGACTCTCCACACAGATTCTCAATTACTACTAGCACTTTGAAGTGATCAAACTCCGTCTGAAAACACCCGAGTCAAAGCAGCCTCAAAAACTGACTTTTTGTAACACCAACACCAAAAACTATACAAAATGAAGTCTCTACTTCATTCTACTAAAGCACTAAAACAAAAGTATAATTAAAGTGAGTTACTGAAAATATCAAATCTTTCATTTCCAATAAAGTTATGTATATTTTTAAATGTTTTATTCTAGATCAATAAGGACCTCCCTCCTTGAGGCAGATAAGATATTCCTTCCTGAAATAAACACTAAACGATATTTAATAAACTATCACATACCAATAGCACATGCTAATTAGTGAACTTGCATAATTTATCATTTATCTTTTCATCCCAGGTCAAAACTCTCTATTCCCTTTTGTTCACTATTTATATTCACTTAGCAAACTATTTTTCAGGTTTAAAATTGCATTTATTTGAATCTGATCAGTGATAAAGTAAATCAACCTTATGAAATGTTATCTGAAATAAATGATAATAAGTAATAAAGTTATAATGAAATGAAGTCCTGCTATTAACAGATTTTTTTAGGAAGATTACATCAACAGATGCAGAAAACGCACTTGACAAAATTCAATACTCTGTAATGATGCAAATGATCAGCCAACTAGAAACAGAAAGGAACTAAATCTAGTACAGGATGTCTAGAACAACCAACAGCCAACATCACACTTAATATATTGTGAAAGGCAACTGCTTTTTCCCTAAGATCCGGAGTAAGGCAAGGATTTCACGTCTTTTCAACATAATACTAAAAGTCCTAAGCACTGCAAGAAGAAGAAGAAATAAAAGGTATATCGATTGAAGAGAAAGAAGGAAAAGTCTCTGTTTGTAGAGGACATGACTGACCATGTGGAAAATCCTGAGGAATCTACCGCCAGAAGCTACTAGAAATAATAAGTGAGTTCGGCAAGATCGCAGGATACAGAGCCGACAGGTAAAAATGTTTTTGTATTTCTGTATAAGATTGATGGACCACTGGAAAATAAAATGTGAAAAAACTGCAATTTGCAACATCAAAAATATGAAATATTTATGAATAAATTTAACACAAGATGTGCAAGACCCGTGTAGTGAAAACCACAACACACGCTGACGCGAACGAAACGGACGGAGACCCCGAGCTGGAGTGGGAGGCTCGCGAGCGCGAAGCCGACCTCCCAAAGCTGACCGGCAGTCAACAGAACCCCAGCCGATGGCTCGACACTTTTCCTTGTTTTTTAGAACTTGACTACATGATCTCAAGTTTACACGGAAATGCAGAGAACCTCACGTGTTCTAAACAATTTTAAAAAGAACAAAGCTGGAAGACTTAACATCACATTTAGGACACTGTGAGATTGGTATACAAGTAAGTACTTAGATCAATGGGGGAAAAACTAGAGTCTAGAAACAGACACATGCATTCAAGGTTAACTGACTTCACACAGGCGCCAAAGTAATTCAGCGCGGAAAGGGTATTCTTTCCAATGCTGGAACAAACAATGCTAGAACAACTGGACATCCACACAGAAAAAAAATACATAAAAATCAACTTTTACTTCACACCACATACAAACATAACTTAAAATGGGTGAGAGCTAAATAAATAGGCTGAAGTTATAAACACCTAGAAGGAAACAAGAAAATCTTTATGACTCTGGGCTAGGCAAGTATTATTTAGGTAGGATATAAAAGACATGAATCATAAAAGAACGAAGGGTAAATGGGACTTGGTCACGATTGAAAACATTCGCATTTCACATGACATCGGTAAGAAAACTCAAAGGCAAAGCACAGACCAGGGGTGATACATAGACAGACTAGGGGTGAGGGGTGAGCAAAAGTAGGTTTACAGTTGTTGAGTGCATAAAACAGTTTATTCTTGTATCATTATTGATTAGTTGTTGGGTTATTATTATTTACTATTAACCTACTTTTGCCCACCCCTGTATATGTGATACAGGACTGACATCTAGAACATACAGCTCTTACGACTCAGTAGAAACAGGACAAACGACCTGATTTTAAAATGGGTAAGAGATTTGAACACACTTCAAAAAAAACAAAGGATACACAAAGCACATGGAAAGATTGTCAATATATTAGTCATCAGAAAAAATCAAATTAAAATCACCACAAATATCTCCATACACTCACTAGAATGACTAAAATTAAAAGACTGAAAAGGCCAAGCGCTGGACAGGATGTGGAGTAACTGAAACTTATACACTGCTGGCAGGAACTGCAACCTGTAGCAGCCACTTTAGGAAAGTTTGGCAGTTTCTTATGAACTTAAACTTACC